TTGAGATGAATGGTACATACAGTTAAAATGTAATGAAATATACTATAATATAAACATGTTAATAATTAAAAGGAAATTTATACTTCCTTGGTAGTAACACAACTCTTTTGGGTCTACTGAATGAAATTTCATATTAAATTATCCCAAACTGTGAAGCCAATCAGAAGACAAGTTCTAACTTCTCTACGATGCTACTCATATATAGTGGAATGCTGCTAGAGTTCCTTGATTCCTTGTGATATTTTTTTGAAGAACCTAGAAAGTACATTTAATTTTTTTCTAACTGCAGCCAGTTACATTACATAAATTTTTATAACGATAGGCAAACCTGACAAAAACTAAAATAAAAGCCCAGACTCTGTATGATACTTTCAGTTAGAAAGCATAGTTCTACACACTTTGCAAACTTCTACAGACTAATTCTATGCCAAGTATGGATCAGTTTATTATTTGTTTGTTTGCTTGTTTTAACACAATAAAACAGTTTTATGCAAGAAGCTGAATAGTTGAGTACTTTCAGGTTCTCACTGCCAGGAAATTTTTCCTAATTCTAGGTTGGATCTCTCCTTGATAAATTTCCATCTGTTACTTCTTGTCCTGTCTTCAGGTCTTTGGAGAATAGATTGTCCCCCCTCTTCTTTGTGACATCCCCTTAAATATTGGAACACTACTATCATGTGACCCCTTTTCTTTGTTAGAATAGTTATACCCAGTGCCATACAACCGTTCTTCATTTGTTTTAGTCTCCAGTTCCCTAATCATCTTTGTTGCTCTTCTCTGCATTCTTTCTAGAATCTCAACATTTTTTTTTATATAAGTCATTACCCAGCTAAACCATGTTTCTCCTTTTATTACCTGTGATAAGAAAAAAAAAAGTTTGTAGAAAACCGTGGGAAGGTTTCGAATGGAAAATGCCACTGTTTGGACTTTTGCAATGGAATTGTACAATAAATACTAGGGCTGGAAACACCCTCTGAGTTTTGGTCAAAGGTGAGGAGCACAGAAGGTGTTGTTTGGATCTGTTTCTTGCTCTCTGGCATATAATATTGAACTACACTATAATGCACTATCGGAGTTGTGTGTCTTCCTTCTTTAACCTGGCCTCTATAACCATGAAAATGACATGTGTAAGTTGCATATTATCCCATATCGCAAGGAAAAATGATTTCTTCTCAAGTGAACAGTCTTTTTATTGGGATCCCAACTCTTAGAATTTCTATTCAATCAGGCCCTTGATCAATCAGGGAGAAAAATGAGTGGACTATCACTCCTCCCAGTAATAAGATCTGAATTAATTTACTTGCCTAAAAGTTATAAATAAATAGCTGATGTGTGCAAGGCTGTGAGAAGACCTGATATCAAACTTTCTTCTAGACTAATATGAACATACCTAGTCAATGTAATGGGGATGAAATATGGGAACTAGCTCCCAGAGCAAAACTATTATCCAAGCATGTATGGATCAAAATATCAATCTCAACCCTTCATGCTTCATCTTAATTAGGGGTTAAGAGGTAATTTGGGATAGAAAACTTACTTTGCAAACAGCTTGTCCCAGACTCAGTCTTCAGAATTTTCAACTGGGGCCAGCTCAAGACAACTTCTCATGTTCCTTTATGGGAAAATGGATGCCTTGGGAAGGATATAAATTCCATTGTACTCACAAACATACTTGTGTCTAAAATTACTTTGGTCTTACTCAAAAAGTGGTACCAATGCTGTATTGATTGTCCATACTGACAGTTTCCAGTCAGTGGTGAGTTTCACATTTTTTTTACTACCGGTTCTGTGGGCGTGGCTTGGTAGGTGTGGCCTGGTGGGCATGACATGGGAAGGATATTGTAAAATCTCCATTCCATCCCCACTCCAGGGGAAGTATACTGTAAAATCACCATTCCTTCCCACTCCAGGGGAAGTTACTGCAAAATCCACATTTCCTCCCCATCTGCTGGGACTTGGGAGGCAGAGAATAGACGGGGGCAGGGCCAGTCAGAATTTTTACTACCGGTTCTCCGAACTACTCAAAATTTCCGCTACCGGTTCTCCAGAACCTGCTGAAACCCACCTCTGTTTCCAGTGCAGTCAAAAGGATGGCAATACCTACAGGAAGGGAAACCTCTGTTGTTAAAACTGAAAAATACTATGTTTTGAAAAGGAATATTCAAAATATGAAGAGCAGGTTGGGAAAGGCCTCCTTTCTGTGCTTTTAATTTGTCAGTTTTTTTAAAAAGAGAGGGAACTGAAGGTGTTAAAGTGCTGCTCCAGATGTTTTGGGATTGCACCCAAGGTGCCTATTACTATTGTACTATCTTTGCTTTCTTTTGTCACAGTCATTCCATTTCTATTTGCAGGTCCTTGCATTTTGTGATTTTTTCCCCCCAGCTCTTTCTCTTTGGTTCTGCTATCACATCCACTATGCAAACTTTTTGTCTTTCTTATCAACAGTTGATAAGTCTGGGGTGTTATGTGGCAGGTGCTTGTCTGTTTGAATTCTAAAGCTCCAGAACATTTTAGCATCTTCATTTTCTATACTTTTGTCCATTTTGTGGTCCCACTAGTTCTTGCTTGCAGGCAAATGATATTTGTTGCAGATATTTCAGTGCAGCATTGCTACTACTTTGTCATGCTGTTGTTTGTAGTTAGTCTGTATGATCTTCTTGCAGCAGCTAACTAGGTGGTCCAGTGTATCTTTAACTTCATTACAGAGGTGGCATTTGATGTCCATTGCTGTTTTTCAATTCTAGCTTTGTATGCATTTGTTCTTAAGGCTTGGTCTCATGCAGACAGAATTGGTCCCTCTGTCTCTCTCTTCAATTTTCTACCTCTTAGCTAGGTTTTTTTTTAATTGTATGCTTCACCTGCCCTTTTCTAATGTACCAATTATGTAATACTTTGCCTTGTTAAGTCTGTTTTCTATTCTTCATTTGGTTTTTCTTGTAGGCCAGTTTGGTCTGTCCTGTATTCAGTAAGCCTTCATGGTATACTAGCTTCAGGGCATTTTCATTATTTCAAATATTATTCCAATGCCCTTTTTATTCTTCAGCTGTCTGATGTACTTGCAGCATTCCACACCCAATTTCTTTTATAAGTAGGGTCAGTCAACATTCCTGCCTAGATGAAGGGCATGATTCATTGTCATTATTTTTCTGGCCTTCTTATCTAGGGCTTTTTGTTCTGTTTGAGTCCAGTCCACTTATCCAGCTTTATATCTAATGATTGAAATTGCCCAGGTGTTAATTGCCTTGATGGTATTTCCTCCATTTATTATTCAGCATGAAAACATTACAGCAATTAGGGCACTGAATCAAAGCTTGATTAGCAAAGATGCTGAAAATAGCTGGATGAACATCAGTTGAAGGGCATTCACACACATGCACAAACCCAAAGCAGAGCTTTGATCTAGACAAAAACATTTCTTAGAGATAACCTCAGTATATTTGAATTCCTAAAGTGAAATCCAAATAAATGTCTTGCATTTCAAAATATGATTAAAAAGTTGTTGACTAGATACCGTCAATAATGCCAATTCAATGGGCACTGCATTCCAGCACTTGCTTACTTGTGTCTTTAATCACAATGTGACTAAATTCTTAAGCAAAAGTGTTTGGTCTTTCCTTTAAATAGCACGAGTCTGATTTTCATCTGTGGCACTATTTCTGTCTTAGTTGTTGGATTATATCCAATGACTTGAAGAAGGCAACATTGCTGGATTGTTGTTTCTGGGAGAGATTAAGGTAGAGGGACCACAAATATTACCACTAGCTTTATTTTCTTTCTTCTGTTAATGGACTTCGGTGATGCCGACTTTGCCAGCAATGTCCATGAGAAAACTCAGTGGGTCTCTTGGTATCTTGGATTAGGTGCCATTTTGCAGAATTTGGGCATAAATAGTTGGAGGATGAATTTTTCAAACCTGCATTCCTATTGCCATTGTCTTTTCCTTTATTGTGGTAATTAAAAAAATATTTAATACTTAAAACAAATATATTTACATTGGCCAATTTTTTTATGATAAATTGGGATATATGTAGCCTTGAGAATTTGACTATCAACACCTTTCCTTTTCAGGTCTTATGACTCAAATTGAGACAGCAAGAACTTTTTTCAAAATATTAGAGTCCCCTATGACAAAACATGATTTTTTTAGCTTTGTTTTGGTGAAATATGGAATACCCAAATTCTGATAGAAACAAATGAGTAGGTGAGTTGGAAGTTTCGTTCCAAGATCAAGCCTTTTTTTTAAATTCCTTGCAGACACCTAATTCTTGACTAAAACGTCTGTTAATGGATTTTATGCAAGTAGAGAATGCATGAAAACTACTTGCCTAAATAGCACTAGCACTTTGACTTATATAACCACAGTGTTTTACAGCCCTCTCTGAGCAGTTTACAATGTCAGCATATTGCCCCCAACAATCTGAGTCCTCATTTTACCAATCTCAGAAGGATGGAAGACTGAATGTACCTTGAACTCCATCAGGATCAAACTCCAGGCTGTGGGCAGAGTTGGCCTGCAATACTACATTTTAACCTACCAGGGATCCTAAAATTCTATACTCACAATTAATCTAAGCATACTTTAAGACCTATTTTATCCCAAATCACCACCCTGAGTGTAGGTTGGGCAGAGCTTCCAGGATTAAGTGTCTATTTGAACTTCAGTTTCTCCAATCCTGCTCCAACAACCACTACACCATTCCAAGTTCTCACTGTCTAAAGAACTGGAGCACACATTTGCCTGAAATACTCTTACATGCCAATATCTTGTATTGCAACTTTCACAGTTGTTGTGTCTTGTCACAGGTTTATTAATTTTTAAATTGTGAACAGTTGTTAATAACAATGGCTGTGTTGGTTTTTTGTAGTTTGTAGTTCAGATACCATGTTGGGGAATAGCCAGTGCATGTTTGTTATTACTTTATTTTTTCCTCTTCATTAAGTATTACAAATTATAAGCAATCTGAAAAAGAATCAAATAAAGTCACCATGGAACCTTATAATACAGTAAAAAAAATTGAATTTATTGAATGAAACATCCAGTTAAATATATCATTCAGTTACAGCATTATCATACATAACATCACCTGCATCTCTTCCAGAGTACACCCAATGTACATAGTGGCTTGCTGTACACACAAGTAGGCACAAATAAATAAACACTGATTCGATAGACGCACAAACAGACATTATTTCCTATCTTCAAAGTCACTCTTTGTAGAAACATTTGAGGATAATTGCATGCATTTCCCAAATTTAGGTTACCCAAAATATGTTTGCCTGATTCTGCACCGTAGTTAAATATGTGTCACCAAGCTACCCTAAAAGGAGCAGCAGTATATCTAATTGAAGGCAAAGGCCCAAAGTGATAAATTAAGAGTAACCTTGAGGAACTGGAAACTATTCCCAAAGTTCTGTGCAAACATTAGCTGGGGTTTTCATCTAGTCTCCAAATATGTAGTGTTCCAGTTTCTTAGATCTATGCACAGATCTCAATACCTTCAACGTGTCCCCTTTGGAAGTCAATTTTGGGGATTTTGATAGTCATAGACGTTTGGGGAATACCAAAGCTGTGTTTGGATTTTGCACATATCTAATTTCACAAGGGCAATCGCTTCTTTTACAAATAAATCAAATTAAAGTAAGCAGACATGACCGACACTGAAATGCCCTTTTTATTCATTATCAGAGACACAACAGACTAGATGACAAAGATAATGTATGGAGAGAGAAATCAGAAATGTTTACTTCAAATCTCATAATTACCGACTCAGTATGAGATCTGAGGAGGACATGACTACATTACAGACAAAACTAGACAACAGATCAAAAAACTCTTAATGTGGCCATTGCTGTAGCTTTATCCTTCTATGAGGACTACTGGAAACAAGTGTATAGATAATCCAATAATTCAAAACCGCCTCTTTCTGTCTGTGCAAGAACATACAAATACACAGTTTATTCTGGGGGGGGGGGAGGAAAGAAACGGTAAAAGACAATTGTATGCAGGCAATTTTAACATGTGTACCAAGACAAGGCCACCAGCCACAATGCCATGGATATGTTATAATTAGTGGTAATGTCTGATGTAGACTTTTTTCATTAAAATCCTGACTGGAAAAAGTGTTCTTTCCCTAGAAGTCAAGAAGAAGTACTATTCCCACCAAGAAGAATGCTTCACATAGTGTTCAGTCAGAATACACAGTTTTATAGAACCATAAATTACAAAGACATATTAAGGCATCTATTGAGAAATAAGTGAACAAAATCATTTCATTCAGTGGCTCTGACTAATACAACTAATAGCCAACCTTGGATCCTCAGGGACTAGCAGAATGCTATCAAAGCAATATTATGCGATGATGAACTTTTCAAATAATGGAAGATCTACAAATCAATAAACGTTAAAATCCTGCATTTTCTATGGGAGTTATACTTAAGAACATCTACCAAATTGGTCTTAATGGCACTTACTATTTGAAAAGTGCAGCAATCCCAAAGTTAAAAAGCCAGTATCCAATTCAATAATGTTTCTTTGTGACTTCATTAAGTTCCCTTGTTTTTCTACTTTCTGCATCCATTCTGCTTCTGTTTCAGTGCGAATGGTCACATAATGTTCACATAATCACTTATAACAGTTCAAGATAAGATTATAAGACTGCAAGAATGCACAAGCATAACATTATCAATTCTACTGTTTGTAATAATTATAAAGTCAAAATATCAGTTTATTTTTTTTTTTTAAAAGTTAAGAAATGTGTCATTACCACTTTAAATTTTATTTACTCTTGACTACTCTGGCTACCTGGCAAAGGTTCTAGTTAATCATGGTAAAAACTTGCAATACTACTAACCTGCAGGTTTCTGCTCATGTCTCACTGTCCTGGGTTCACTGGCAAAATTTAAAGCAGTTTTAATTTACATTTCACCATTATGTTGCCAGGACCAGAACATAGAATATTTGTCTATTTTCTCACATGCTTTACTACCAGTATATGGGGAAAGAAATATAAACCCCACGTATAGCCCAGAGTTAATGAGACGTCTGTAGTTTCAGAAGAATGAGAAAGGGGATAGGAAGCTAACTCGCAATTCATTTAATTATTTAATCAACCATACAGCAATGCATAAAAAGTAGATAAATCATTACAATATTTAAAACTAGACTACAAAACATTTCCAAAATAATTCATAAACCCTACATTTCAGTTTCTATTTAAAGTGTTAAATAAATATATGAGTGTCATATCTGAAGAGTGACAATTCCTTGCTCCCTTCTTCATCCTGTGTGGCTTATTCAAGAACAAAGTTAAAGATGCAACCTAATAATGATTACTGGAAGAAATAAACAATGGTATGCATCCCATCTTCCTTTTTTTAAAGCCATTACCTGATAGAAATAAGCCCTACTGAATTCAGGGAGCAAAAAATTGTTTCCTGGTAAATTGCATTTTAATTATAATTTAAGTGTTATAGTCAAATTCAGATTGCTTGGCTAATTAGATAAAAACAGAAGAAACCATAATGCAAGCCGCATGTATGATTAGTTAGAAAACCAAAATTGTAGTATAAAATACTTAATAATGCCATGAAGCAGCTGAAATCTTAGGAAATAACCTTTGTGTAAACTATTTAATTTCAACACTGTTTCTGAGAACAGTGTTTATTTATTTATTAATTCAATTTGTATGCCGCCCCTCTTCGAAGACTCAGTGTTCCTGAGAACAAAGGCAAATAACAGAAAATAGGATGTGTATTGCACTTTTAATACCGGGATAAGAATCTCCCTGTGCCCGCTCAATCAATTTATTTATCTATTTTGATTGGCTCGCTTTTCTCTTATATGTAAAATAAGAAAATCGTGAAAGTTGGGCCGATGAATTTAACCTCTGTACACATGCTAATTGGCTGTGATTGTTATGTAGCTCTCAAAGTGTTTCCATAATACAGAAGCAAAATAATTCAGAAGTTACAACTATGCATCTGACTCACATTGTGTTTTATAGTGTATATACATATATACTCGTGTTAAATTATTGTTTACATGAATTGGATTATAATCATGACATTCAAGGCATTTTTCAAAATGTATGCTTAGTGAATGATCCTTGAAGCTACAACAAAGTAAAAGCTTACAATAGAGGATTGTTTTATAATATCCTGTTGTTTACACAAGTATAAAAAAAAATCTTTAAAAACACTTTTCAATATCCTGTCCAGTTCACACATGTATCTTTTTCCCCACAGCAATTTGATATGAACCCTGCTATAGAGTCAAACTAGCATAGTGCTGGATTTAGCAATATAAACCTTATTTCCCTTTTTATATGCAGTCCAATTGGTGTTGCCTGAGAATTATACATTATACAGCATGATGCTGTTTTTAGCTTTCAGTCTTATTACCAATAGACACAGAAACTCATGGGATAGAAGCATGAACTTATAGAGTCCGTTTTTAATATTAAACATTGAGTTTCATTTACATTTCCTTCTTCTGTGTTAGCTACCACTCTCAAGCTCTATCTCGCTTGACATGCAACTATCCAAAAGGAGGAATTTACTTTAGAAATGAGACATATGGTTTCTAAATTGATAGCCTGAAGTAGTTTAGAACAAGAACAATGAAAATAAAAATGAACTGGTAACATGATGCTCCAAAGGTTTCATAAAAATCATCTGGTGAGGAGTATTAGGACTCCTAATTCTCCCCACATCCACTGCTCTTGATCCAGAAGTCTAGTAAAATCCAAGATGCTTGCAAGTCATTCAGTTTCTTCCAGGTAGGGATAATGGAGCACCCATATATATATATTTTATATGTCTCCTAAATCCACCCCATACCAAAAAAGAAGCATAAATAAATAAGAGTACTAAAAAAGAGCCCCTTCTTTTTTAACCGTAGCCGTATCTGTTTAATCTATAAAATAAATAGATTTGGAAAGCAAGGAGAAGCCCCAAGTTCCTGCACTTGCTATGAAGAAACTCAAGATCCATCCGAACTGCAGGTAACTTTTCAAAGTGAAAACAGGTTACAGTATCATGGTAAAGCAACGGTGGCATTGGACACAGTTGGTACAATCAGTTCATAGAGGGATTCATATGTCCCCACAACAAAGCCAGTAATACCGAAGAGGCTGATGAGAATATCTTTGGCCAGGATGAGCGGGTGCAGGCCTTCCGAATAATAGGTGAAGATCTCCAAGAGGGGCGGGATAATAAGTGCTAGAGCACTGCTGCTCACTGAGCCTACCAGAGCTATGACAATGTCCAAGCGAGGTATCAATATTGCAAGGGCACCTGAAGGGTAGAAAAGGAGGAAATAAAAGCTTTGTCAGGGAAGATACCTAACTGAAGAGCAAGCGGCTGAGGTAATTAGTCTTTACTTCAACTTCAACTTTACAACAACTTCAAATGAAATAAACATCGTTTTAATTTTGGAGTATGTTTTTAGTCTGTAATGAACGCTTCTGGCAAAATAGAAAGGGACATTAACTGACACTGAATCATGACAAAATGTGCCATCAGTATGTACACTCTTCATGTGTGGAATTTGTAAACATTTTGGAATGAATTATTGAATCTAGCACCAATATTATTTATTACTAATATCTGTACAAAGCTATTGCATTAGTCAGGGGTCCCCAAATGTTTTGAGGTGATCAATTTCACGCCTTTGGAATTCTGAGACCATGACTTGAGTGCCATGTGGGGTGAAGGTGGCAACCATATTCGACAAGTCACATCACTATAGCAACCTAAGAGGATTTTTCACACATCTGTTGTTGTTTTTTAGCAACCAAGACACTGCAGATCAATTTTGCAGCTCACTTTTACCCTTTTGGTGTAGGAGTGGGGCAGGGGTGGGGAATGATGGCACTTTTATGACTTATGACTTCCGGCTGGCTCAGGAATACTGGGAGTTGAAGTCCACAAGTCATAAAGAGGCCATGGTTTCCTACCTCTCATATAAGGGGTGTATTTTCCACCAAACAAAAGCACTCTACTGCACTCGGCCTCCATTTTTATTTTCTGTAGAGCCCAGTAATTTTCTTAAGAATATCTTTACCGCAATAAATCATCCTTTGGGCTAAATCTCTACCTGCCGAGTGAAAAGAAAACTCTCACCACTCACATGTTACGCAGACAAGGAGTACTCTCAGCAGCACTTTGCAACATAATCTCCAGCGTTCTGGGACCTTGGAAGCAGCCACAGGAATTATTATTTCTGCAGGGACATAGAACTGCAGAGCATAAGTGAAGAAGATTCCGAGGGAGTAGAGCAGCTTGACAGACTGGTACAACCTGCAAAAATGAGGCAAGAGCCAACCATTAAACCCACTCAGCTTCCTCGTGAAAAACCAAACCAAAAATTGAAGTAGTGCAGTGATTACACTCTTTGAGAATGCTTTGGCTCCCTGATCCAGAGATCACTAGGGAAATTTGGCTTACACATAAGGAGACAAACTAAAAGGAGGTAAGTCTTCCTTGATGAAAGAAAGTGTTGTTTCTAAATCAGGGCTTTGGATATTGTAGAAAGCCACATGCCAAAGGACTTGTAGGTAAACAACAAGCGAAAGGAATATCCTATGAAAAACTGCCTGTCCCTGTTATGACAACCACTAAAATTCTTGTTCAAAATTACTTATGACTTAATGAGTTTTTAAAGGCATGGGTTCCTGTTTAAAACTGAACATTCACTCAACAATGCAAGATGTTTTATTTCAAAGCCTTCGTTTTTCAGATAGTGAGAAATTTCTGATCTCATCAGAATTCAAATTCCTTGTATGCCATCACGAGATAGATAAAACTGATAGCTAGTTGCATCACTATTATAAAATTAGAGGGCTGTGCTAACTAAATGTTGTTGGAAGATATATTGCTAGAGTTGATGGGGCTGGAGTTTAATAAAGGACCCATTCCCGGATTATCAAAATCATTGTAAATTTTAGTTTTGAAAATAATACAGTATATTTTTTTTAAAAAAATATAAAGAATCAACACCTGAATTTAAGCTCTCTCTCCTATGGAACTAATTCTGTTTAACTTTAGTGACCACGAAAAATAAATAAAATGAAGTAAAACCCAAAATACATTTTTTAATCCCATCTACAGTTCTGCAACATCATTTTTCTTGTATTTCCTTCTAGATATTGTCACACTATAACTCACAGCTCCCTACTGAAATTTTGACATTGGAAATATGTCCTGTCAGTTTTGATGTTATATTTATCTAGGAATTTCTATTAGAAATGGATAAAAATGAAAATTTGATTAAATCATCTGTATACAATAATTTATGAATTGGAGAACCTGCTGGTGTGGTTGGAGTAGAAGAAGGGAGACTGGAGTACTCATGGCTTCCATCAGAATTAGAGTTGGGTGAAAACAAATGAGTTATGGGAATTACACTAGACAACTTTATTATTATCAATGCCAAATTTTCCAAGGAGGTATTCTAAGCCAATGCGATGGTGTCCTACATGTGGCAATATGCTTAGTCAGCCAATGTAAATAGTTCTCAGTTCCCAGGATCATGAATGAGAATGTGATAACCCAAAAGATAACCCAATTACAGGGGACAACTGCTCTGCATTCTCAAATATTTCTGTGGCAGCACTGGTTTTTCTCTTAGTACAAAATGTACTACTTGAAACATGGGATACATGCTTGAATCGGTTCAAAGTATGTCAAATTTGGAACACAGAGAAACATGGCTTGCTATAAGCGATGGTGGCCATGAGAAAGAGTGAAGTCATGAGACAGCAAGTAACTGGGAACATACTCTAAGAGCTTCCCTACAAAAGGAAACACCTTTGCAAAAATTTTTTTACTTCTCAGCATCCACCTCTGCAATTCCATTCTTGCTCATTCAGGAGTAGCCTGTAGTTCGGCCTTCTTTCTGCCTGGTAACAAAAGCTTCCCAGTTCAACTCACCAACAGTTGGGGAGATTGAGCGTGATGCTGGCCTGGATGTTAGCTCCAAAGCGCAAATATCCTAGTGTTCCCAAGCTGAGGTAGAATGTGGTAACAATCGCCATTCCTACATACAGGATAGTGTGAAAGTGCTGGGGGTTCTTCATTTTGTTTTCTAGAGGGAGCACCTTAGAGAAGAAAAAAAAAGCCCCAAATAGTCAATGAATATCATTTTACTCTCCTAAAAAGAGCCTTGGTAGTACAGTGGTTTAAAGCACCCTGTTATTAACACAGCTGCCTGCAATTACTGCAGGTTCGAATCTTACCAGGCTCAAGGTTGACTCAGCCTTCCATCCTTTCTAAGGTAGGTTAAATGAGGACCCAGTTTGTGGGGGCAATAAGCTGACTTTGTATAAATATACAAAAGCATGAAGGCTATTGCTTAACGCATTGTAAGTCGCCCTGAGTCTCCGGAGAAGGGCGGCATATAAATAAAATAAATAAAATAAATAATTAAGTTAACCTCTTCACAATAGACCAGGACATGCTTAGCATTTGGTCTTCTCAAAGAATCGCTGCCTTAATTAGAGAAGGAAAGATATATAGTAACTTCTTAGCGTGACCCTAATTTCTTTGTTTCTGAGACAAGACTATGCAGAGTCATTCTGCATTAAATTATGGTATTTGGCTGGATCAGATCTATGCTTCAAATAAAGTTATCCATTGGCTTCTTAAAAATCCAAGAAAAGAAGATTCTACCAACTCTTTATTTCTTTTCCCTTATTTCTTGGGAGGGAAAAAAAAAATCTTCCCCAAAGTTAGTACTACCGTAAAGCAGGGGACTCTCAGGAACTGATTCCAGAAAGCACAATAGGAAAGCAAATTGTTATTTGTTGCTGTATTTTCATTGTCAGGAAAGGAATAAGGCCCTTAACTAAACTTCTTTGGCAATGATGGGTTGGGGGAGAGATGTGAGCCTCAGGTAGGACAACTTATTGAACTGGCTTAGTTTCTAATACTTTATTAGATATTCCAAACCCCTTCAATCACATCTGATAATTTTGCACTTGCAACCCTTTGTCCCGAGTCTTGCTCTGAATCCTCAGAAATTGTCCTTATGATTGTCATAGCAAGAAAACAAAAAGAGTGCAAAATAATTGAAGTCAGTGCATAGACTGAGGCCTAATAAGCATTTGATAGGGCTCTACTCTTGCTTTCATTGCTTGAATGCATGACATAATCCAATAAAATGTCTCACAATAGCAACAATCATTCAAGGAACAAAATTACCCCTATGGAAAATTAGATCTAAATTGCTGAAAGATAAAAGACAAACACGACCAGGCCAGAGAGAAGGAAAAAAGAACAGAATGGATCAAACATTTCTATGTTTATTCCAATAGATCAAACTAGATATGTTCAAAAGGTTAGAGCTATGTAAGATCATTCATGTACACTGTTACGTTGCATTTTAACTAGAGTTTCAAAAGAGAGTTCTAACTTAGAAAACTTAACATAAAAGAAGTGTTTGATCCCAGAACAGCTGTGAGCGATTATAAAGTACAAACTGGTACAAACTGGTCAGATGCTGCCAAAGGATACAAAGATTCTCATTCAAATATAGACAAAAATATCTTAACAGCTTTTTGGTCTTCTCATATGTTCAATGCCTTAAAGACTAAACATTTCTGGTATCAGTGTTCCGAGTAACGCATCCAAAGAAATCAGAACTCTAAGGCAGGAACGTTCCTCAGAGAACATGTTTATTGGACACATCGTATCGGCACAGCCAACGAAAACCAGTTTCCCACGGTTACCATGTAATTAAAAGAGCAAAAGTTTCCCTCCCCAGGTGTCACAGGTCATATTGTCCAATCAAAGCAGTTGGCGGTGTCCCTCAATCACTTCTGCTCCTCCTCCTACTGCCATCTGTTGGGATAACCTTGGTTCCCACAGGAGAGCTCTTTATTTTGTCTACGTGAGGGTCAAGCTATTTCCCTCTCATCCTCCCCCCATAGTGCGTGGCAACTGTGAAGAAGCACAAGATGGCTTCAGCCAGGTTCGATTCAGAGTTGACATCTGGATGCAAAGAGACAGATATGCTAAATGCCACCTGACAATCTACCAGACCTAAATTATTTTTCAATTCCTAGCAAAACAAGATTCCAAGCCAGGATAACCCTGGCAACATTAAGACCTGTGGACTTCAGCTCCCAGAATTGCTGGCTGGGGAATTAAGACCACGGGTCTTAAAATTACCAAGGTTGGACACCCCTGTTTTAAGCTACGTTTCTAGGCAAGACTTACCACTCCGATGCCTTCAAAGGCAAAGATGGCTGTACCAAAAAAGAGAGGCATTGTTTTCCAGGCAGCTACCATAGGCAGATGGCTAGGATTTGGAATGTCCTAAAAGGAAGAAAAGCAGAGGATCTTTAGAAGGAGTGCCAACAAGGAGCAGTTGCAATTTAGGAAACTCTCTTATATGGAAGCAAACCAACAGAACCCTCCTCACTCAGATTTTCTACACCAGCCTTTTCGAACTTAATACCCTTCTTATTTGCTAGAATTACCATTCCCGGAGCTCATAAAAGCCTTGCTGGCTACCACCTTGTGGGAACTACAACCCAAACTTGATAATTTCTTGCTTCATTGTGCTTGTATTCTGCCCAATTTACAAAACTCTCTGGGCAATTATGTGGTTATAACATTTTTTTTTAAAAAAACTAGAATTATAGCAAAATATACATTGTTGAGGAAAAATACAAAATGTATGTAAAGTACTATAAACTGCCCAGAATCATTTGTTAGAGAGATGGCCAGCATATAAATGTAATAAAATAAAACAAAACATTGCAGAGATGGCAGTAAAATCAAAATTGAAAAAATACCTCTTACATGGTAGCCTTACATTGATCAGTTACTACTATCCAAGTTTTCAGGCAACAATTTTCCTGTGCTATATATAAAGAAGTTATGGAAATTCAACTACTTCTATTATTTCCCTGACTTCTCCTTAAGAAGGTGTTGGATTTAAACACATTAGTATCTATGAATCTCATAGATTACTGAAAACAAGAGAATACAATGCTCAGGTGGTCTTCTACCAGCTACCAAAATCTTTCTTACTATACTCTTCCCTCATGAAATGAAATGCTGTCCCTCAGATGCAAAAGTCTACCATAAGAAATAATTAATTTGTCCCATTTGTATATGAAAAAAATCAATCTCTTTATGGAGTTATTTTTCATTCTGCCCTCAAAACAAGCATCTTATTGTTTCATGGGCTGGGATTGGCCCACTTGATCTCTTCACATATGACATTTGCTCCTTCTATTCTGCCATTCATAACCTTTCAGAAGTATTTCCTCTTTCTTCAATACGTCCCGACCCAGAGTCCTTCACTCATTTGCATGTACCATCTCGTCCACCCATCCTTTCAAATTGTTTTTCAAGGTAACTTTTCCTCTAAAGTTATTTGTCAGAATCATATTTCACCCCGTCCAACTAAAATAAAATAAAAATAAAATAAAGCTTAAAACACATGATCATGCCTTTCCCTTTGTAACCAAAGTTGACATTTAAATGACAAAGCACAAAGGCACTATTTCTGTCTTCAAAAATGTTTCTTCCGCACAATACCATGGAATCCTTATTAAATATATAGCATATTCCATTCACCACAGAATTATTATTATTATTGGATATGCAAAACCAACAAAATGGCAACACTAAGTGCTGAGAAGATGCTGAAAGGAATCAATTTTATACATACCCTGACAATGTACTGATATAACATTATCAGGCTGCTCAACATCAGAATATTGGCTGCCATAGAGAAAATGGAAAGAATCTTGAGATTCTGGATGAAGACGAGCAGTATCACAAATGGTAAGAAGGCCAGGATATATAACTGAGAGCTCATTGTTGGAGTCCACAGAGCAGTTTCATTGGCACTGCAATCATTGGTGGTACCATTGGCAGCAGATATTACCTGAATAATTATAAAGATAAGAATAAATTGCTTATGAATCAGCTGTCTTCCACATGATTTTTAAAGTGATTATAATAAATTGTACTCAACCAGATTGCCCCAATCTGGAACTACTTAGAAGTGTAGGGCTTCATTACATAGGATATAGGATTACGAGAGTTAACCCAACACACTTGAAGTCAGAGGGTGGAAAAAAACTTCTCTAAACCACCCAGAGTCACACAAGTATGGTGGATAGTATGGAAATTTGATAAATAAATAAAATAAATTCTAATTCCATCCCTAAGTAAGTAGGATTTACAAAGGAAAGTTTGCACACTCCAAGTATGCAAAATGTGATCATAAGTAAGCAGCACAACACAATGCACACACAAATGCAAGGATGTTAAGAAAGTCTGAGCTTTGATTCCCACTTCTCACAGGATACCACTCATGATTTCATACCCAGATATTAGTTCAAAAGGAACAGACGGTTCTGAACACCCACGTAAGAGGGCACCAACTGCCCTCTCTACAAAAAAAAATTGTATTAAAGCAGACTGTCAATACTTCATAAAATTAAACACACAAAACAACTCCATTTGGCTTTAGTGCAAACTTATTATTAAATCTGCTGAGACACTAGCCCCATTCAGCAAATATTAAACTTATGGTATCTAAATCAGGATGAGAAGTACTTGCCAAGTTATACAACGCATTATAGTATATTCAAATATGGAATCGAGTTGTTGACTCATGTATCATGATTTATCATGTAAATGGCTGACAGGAAATCAGGAACTCAGACAAAACAAATGAAAATATTTTTCTCAAATTCAGAAAGCAATGATTCCACATAAGAAAACACAGCCTTGGGTGGCACTTCTGTGTTCTGCTTCCCTCAAAGATTAATACCGCTGAATCCAGCATATCCTTTGTGATTTCTCAAGACACGAAAGAAGCACATCTGAGATGACACATAACAAACAAATTTGAGAAAAATGCATCTCATCTTTTGTAAATTTAATGAAAATATTCTATAAGTTAATTTAATGGTTGGATGTATACGTTGCCATTCTTCTAAGAGAAGTAGCATACATAGAATTTTGTTCTTGATTTCCCCAGAACAACAATTTTACAAGGTGGCTGGGGTGAGAGATGGTGACTGGCACAAAATACCCCTTTATACCAGACAATGTACTTGATTTAAATCTTCCCAGTCCTAATCTAATACTGCACCATACTTGCTCTCCTTTCGCTTTGGTCCAAGTATAGGAGGGTTTGTTTTGTTTCTGGGAAATAGTTCAGTGTCTTTCTAATTGCAGCAGGATACATATAATTTATGATAACAAGAGACTCAACCATGGGTCTCTTACCAAACACATGAAAGGGATACATGAGAGAGCATGAAAGCCGCTACTTGAAAAAGGTAAAGTTAGAACAATGCTTATGATTCTGAATTTTTAGTGATACTTGCTTTAGATATTATAACACATTTCATTATGTTGATTCTTACCTGTCTGAAATTGTCAGCAAGGAATACAAAATATACACAACAGAATCCCAGCTGAGTAAGAATTAAGAAAAAACTTACTAGATACCTAAAAAACAAAACATACTGTAAGCACGCAAGATTAACAGTTGTAAATATTTAACCTTCCTGATGTATCAATTCAATCTTCTGAAATATTGCTAAATACAAAGTCCAATTAAAAATATAGTGCTCAGTTTTAATGAAAATTCAAAAATATGTTGTCAAAATGACATCTTATAATGCAATCAGAGACAGAATGAATCTAGTCAAATAAAACTCATGTTGTGTGAGGATTATAACGGCAAAGTAGTAATAATTTTCCCCCACTATAGTATTATTTTTCTCAATGAATTTTTTTAATAGGTAAGACCCACTCTCAAAAACCTTGCCAAAATTGTGATGTAATGAATTTCTCAGTAGTTAAATTCCATAAAACATTTTAAATGTAAATTTGATTATTTTATAACTACTTGAATTGAAGCCAACTTTTGTATATGTCTGATGCTACACTGTTATCTTCAATCTGCAAGATCTCAATTCTGGAAACAATATGCTCGGTATGGTTTAGCCCCATGATGGTGAACCTATAGCACGCGTGGCACAGGTGGCACATGGAGCCATATCAGTGGGCACATGAGGGTTGCCCTAGCTCAGCTCCGGAGCACAGGTGTGCACTGGCCAGCTGATTTTCAAGCCTTCTGGGCCCACCAGAAATTGACAAACAGGCTGTTTCCAGCCTCTGAAGGGCCTCCAGAGGGGAGGGGACACACGGGTGTGACCCCCCCCACGCGACCCATGCTTTTAGCAGGCGACGGCAAAAAGGTTAGTTATTATTGGCTTAGCCAATGGTATATTCACCCAGCTGGGATCTTCATAGTTAGTTATATTTGGCAAGAAATATAGCAGTTGGCTCAGTTTAGTCAAATGTAATATTTAATAGAGTAAATGATCGCACCCTCCTTAATGGAGGCAGAAACCTGACCTAAAGAAATCTTGTCTGGTTTGAAAGACCCAAATCAATCTTCCCCGATCTGAGTCCTTCCTCTGTACTGCAAATGGAACTTATAAAATTCACAACCCGCATAACAAAAAAAATTGCCTCCATTTTAAATTGATCACCATAGATCAGGGCTGTCAAACTCCCGGCCCATGGGCCAGATGCGTCATGCACTGGCCATGCCCACGCCCAGTTTAGCAAAGGGGGAAAACGTCCCAATATGTCACGTGACACCGCCATGATATCATGAGTTTGACACCCGTGCCATAGATGATACAACACAAATATAATTAAGCTAAGTACCTTCCCCAGATAGAATGAGTTCTGAGCCATGAAATGGGACCAGCTTCTAGCCCATGCATCACAGCATCCCCATATTCCAGAAATGGTTTTTGATGTCTATTTGAAAAAATGAAAAGAAAAGCAGAGATATTTAGAATAGTAAGGAGGAAAAGTGATTAATCTTCTTTCTGAAAAGGCACCTGTTGAGAAAAACAAAGTTTTGCAATGTATCTTGACAGTGGGAATATAAGAACACAGTAGCACTGATTTAGGGCTATAAAAACTTCTTGTACATATCCAATTCTATCACAGCAGCTCAGTTTGATAATAATAGGTCCTTGGGAAGGATTCGATGCCAAATCCAGTGCAAAAATCTGTCTGAGAAATCATACAATTTTTCGTTAAAATGTATTTGTCTATTAATAATGATTTATTTTATATTTATATTTCATTTTTTATTAAAATAAATTATGTCATATGTATGTGCTTTATATATTTCATTGTACATTTATCAAATATATATTGCTTTTTACTAATTTATTATTAAAACTAAATAAACAAATATTAATAAGTATTAATCATTAAAAAATTAATGATATATTAACATTTATTAAAAAGGTACTGGAAGAATATCTGAAAAACAGTGAAGAAAATGCACTGAAGTTAGTGTACAATAAAGGCTTACTGAGTATGGGACAGTTCAGACTGGCCTACAGGAAAGACCAAATGAAGAACAGAAAAGAGATGTTGCAAGGCAAAGTATTATATGGTCAGTACGTTTTTTTAAAAAATAGCAAGCCAAAAATTAACAAGATCTGACAATGGCTAAGAGCAGGAAAGTTGAAGAAAGAGAGAGAATGGCTAATTCTGGCTGCACAAGACCAAGCCTTAAGAATAAATGTACCGTATTTTTCAAAGTATAAGACACACTTTTTTCCTCCTAAAAGAGGCTGAAAATTTGGGTGCGTCTTATACTCCGAATCAGTGGTGAAATGTAAAATTTGTTACTATTGGTTCTGTGGGCGTGGCTTGGTGGGGGGGATAATGTGACTGGGTGGGCATGGGCAACTTTTTTTTTTTACTTTTAAAAGCATTTTTTCTGCAACCTTAAGAGGTTGCAGAAAAAAATGCTTTTAAAAGCCTCTGACAATCAGGCAACTCAGCTAAGATTGTCAGAGGCTTTTAAAAGCATTTTTTTCCCTGCAACCTCTTCAGCTGGGCATGGGAGGGCAGGGATTTTTGCTACTGGTTCTCCAGACCACCCACCACCATCGCTACCGGATCGGGCAAACCGGTCTGAACCGGGAGCATTTCACCCCTGCTCCGAATGTAACCCTGCACGGGATGCCCAAAATGGCTACCCAGAACAGCTGCTGCCTTCTCTTACCCCTTCCACGTTTTGCCTGCTTTAATCACTGGAGCTCCCTCTGAGGATCAGCTGTGCTTTTGAAGCTGTTTTTCAGCCCCAACGCGAGCAAAACAATCTTCCATGCTTTGCCTGCTTTTCTAATTACTGCTTCCTCCAACAATCAGCTGTGCTTTAGAAGCTGTTTTTTAGCCCCAACCTCAAAACCAGCGAGTGAATTAATGTGCTGGGACTAGCCAGATGAATACCTGGTAGGCAGAATTTTTTCCCCCTATTTTCCTCCCCAAAAACTGAGGTGCATCTTATACTCCAAAAAATACGGTATATAAAGCCAGAACTGAAAAGACAGCAACAGACATCAAATGCCACCTCTGCAAAGAAGCTGAAGAAAAAGTGTATCACCTAGATTAGCTGCTGCAAGGAGATAATACAGATTGACTATAAACAATAGCATGACAAAGTAGCAACAATGGTGCATTGGAAGATCTACAAGAAATACCATTTGTCTGCAACCAAGAACTGGTGGAACTACAATGCAGGCAAAAAAATAGAGAATGAAGAAGCGAATGGGTTTTGGGACTTCAGAATTCAAACAGACAGGCACCTGTCATGTAACATCCCAGACTTAACAACCGTCGATAAGAAAGACAAAAAAAAAAAAAAATGGTCAGGACACTAGATATTACAGAATCTGGAAACAGCAGAATAGAAGAGAAAGGACTGGGAAAAAAAACCCACAAAATATAAAGACCTGCAAATACAGAAGTAGAATAACTGTGGCAAAAGAAAACAAAGATAATGCCAGTAATAATAGGCATCTTTGATGGGATCCCAAAATATCTGGAACACCACTTGAACACTATCGACATTGACAAAATCCCCATCAGTCAATTTCAAACATCAATTTTATTTGGAACAGTTTGTCTCTTGAAACAATACATTTAACACCACCATTCAACATCTCCCTATCCCAGCCTCTAGGGAAGGACTCAACAGGTGGATAAAAATAAACAATCCAGTCTAAAAATGTGACTGATCAAGCAACCAACCATAATAATAAGATCTCTCAGTGAGGTACTATTTTGACATGGTTGTGGGGCTTGTGAGGAAGATGAGAGCAATGACAGAGGTTCAACCACACTGGACAGTTGTCATCAGATGAGCCAGACAAAATGTGTGTCTCCAATAATATGGTGAGACATAATTTAGGTAAACCATACCAGATCGACCATAAGGACCACGCTAGGTGTTGGGAGTTCCTGGGCATCTGGTAACAAATGGATTACAAGACTCAGGACTGTTGGCTGAGCAACCAGGGCCAGCAGCTGCAAGACTACTAGAACAAAACTTGCTTACCCATCATAAATACATAAAGAAATGATCTGTTCTTATAAACTAAGTCCATGAAGAAAAGAGTATTTGAAAAGAATGTACCAGTTCTGCAAGAACGGTATCCGGAACAGAAGCAACAGAACCAGGCTAGCAGATCAACATCAATTTATAATACAAAATAAAGTATACAGAGAAGCTTTGGAAGAACTGCAAAGGTCTACTCAGAACAAAGAAATCAAAGCCTTGCCAAAGTAGCTCAGACTATAGACACAAACCAGAGACAGACAGAGCAGAGAAAGCCAGTATCAAATTATATTCATTCCCAAACCAAGCACCTTCTCCTTCTGCCTTCTCCTCAGAAAGAACGAAGGCCATATAAAATAAGAAAAATTGAAACAAATAAATAAATCTAGAACAGCACAAAAACAACAGAATAAGATTGTCTGCCCTGAAACCTGTTCAAAAGAAACAGCACAAGAATTAACAGATGCCAACACTATAATATCAAATGTAAGCACCAACCCATTGTAAGAAACAAATCAACTAATGTACAGCATCGATGCATCTATAATTGAATACCTTGGATGCAAAATCAACAAAAAACAAACAATGCACCACCAAAATGGAAGATCATGTTGGAAATTAAGATCAGCATTTTATGACCAGATGCAAGCAAGCTGGAGCAGATGAATGAAAAAAAAAGCTGAAGAATCCGAAGACCAAAGTATATTTGATCAAGAAATATCACCTAGATCAAAGAAAATTAAGGAAGCACTAGAAATAATAAAGCAACAAATAAAGGCTATAGTCCAGAAAATCTGCAGATACAAAACTTGAATTGTCTGCCATAAACAGAATCTCTAGTTTCAATGGAATCAGAAATGTTTCTCCCAATCCATCAATGTTGGGACTGCAATGAAGCAGTCAACACTTGACAAAGAAGAAACAGTGCAGTGCAGGATCAACAAAAATAATAATATATAATAATAATATATTAAATTTGTATGCTGCCCTATAAATTCTATAATTATAAATCTTGATTCTGGGTGGTTTACAATTGTTAAACATTAAAAAAAACAAAGAACAATATAAGAAACACAACAATGGTACAAGACAAAAGAAAATGATGACAAAGAAAACAAACCCAGAGAGAAATTTCAAATATTTATGCATGCTTAACAGCAGTGGCTGTAATTCAAATTTTCTTTTTGTGATATTCTGAGGCATGTAGTGTGGAGTTTAATGTTTAGAATAGGTATATCTACACATCTTAGATCTTCAAACTTCAAATGTTGCCTGCTTCTCTACTAGACCATTAATCTTTTTCATTTTGCTTCATGTGACAATAAAATCTCTCATGTACAGAGGAAAATCAGTACAGCAAGTTTTTACCCATATAGAAGAATAGATAACTTTTGCATATATTAGAATCTTCAATATTATATAAACAGAGCAAAGGCAAACATTGTAGGAAGAACAATGCATTACTCTAAGTGGGCAAAAAAAATCAGGAATCTGATAGCACTTTCTCTGGCTAATGAATTTTATTAACAGTCATAAATTTTTGTGATGAAATCAGCTGCAGCTCATAAATGATTACCCCAAAGATGTTTTTTTCAAGAGGCAACTGGACTTTTTGTTGTTGTTGTTGTTGTTTTTTGAAGACATTTTGCTTCTCATCCAAGAAACTTCATCAACTCTTGAGAAAAAAACACCTTTGGGACAACCATAACCCAGATGATTGAGAATCTCCATAAGACATAAAATCTTGTGTTTTTTTTAAATAGAATGTTCTACTTCAAAAGGCTGCTTACCAGACTCCTGATGTAGAACAGCTATTTGGGGCATTGTTGCATTGCTCTAGATCAGGGATGTCAAACTCACGTCATCATTCCCCCTTCGCTAAACCGGGCATGGGCGTGGCCAGTGCGTGACGCATCTACTTTTAACAGCCCTGCTCTAGATACTTAGCCTACCCTTTTCCCAATGATTCTGCTAATAGCAATAAGAAACCAGGACTCCTGAACTGGGTCAATGGGAAGAAGGAAGAAGCAATTAAGATTTCCTCTTTCCTTCTCAGAAACCAATATGGAATACTGTTGCCATTAGCAATACAGTCTATTTTTTAACTATTTTACAGAAAAACTGGAAGCACACTTTTCCTTAAACCTGCTGATCAATCTGATGAAGAGCTGATAAGGATCAGATTGCTGCTTTGCAGCTATTGAAGGCAATCTGGAAACCAGCAATCTGGTGGTTTCAAATGATCCTTAGGAAAACTGGGCAGGGTTCTAGAATAGCACATCTTGAAATTGCAGGCGACTTAAGGTCTATAGGTAGGTGATTCATAATTTAGATACAATGTAATCCAACAGAGTGCTAGTAGTATTTCAATATCAAGGTCAATTGAGCTTTAATTAATTACAGGTTCTCCAAAATGAGTCATTCTAATTCTAGCACCATAGGATGCTTCAAAATATACTCCCCTTCTATGTGTATTTTAATTTGGTCTCTGACCGCAATAAAAAGCTTACTTACTTACTTCAAGAGAAGAGAACAGCACCATAAAAAACATGGGACTTGTTGGGCAATTCAATTATCATTTAAAGACCCACCCACATCCCCCCAAAAAGGCCCACTCCATAAGTAAAATTGCCCAGTTTAGCTTTCTAAACCAAGCATCATTAGGTTTTGTTAATAGAAATCTATTTTATTTCTGCATGCCATCTACCAAGGAACCTCTGTGCTTGCCCAGGGATGGAAATAGCTCTAAAAACAGATGAATTGTATATATTCCAAATGGATGGCTCAAGCCTCATTTTTTTTATTCATTTTAGCAGCATTTGAGAAAACAGTGTGTGCAATCTGAAGCCATTCCAACAGCTAATGAGTCATAACAGGATTGTATAATCTTCCCCCACATGATTAAATTATTCCCATGCCTTCAACACAAGCTAAATCTTATTCCCTACTCTATATTTTGCTTTCTTTATCAAAGGTTTTTTTGTCACTGTTATTACAGCTATTTTATAACCACAATCACTTTCTTCCAGGGATAGCAGTTGTCAAAATTCCCTCTTACTTCTGGCACAGGTGGTGAGCACATTTGACGAGGATGTCCATGCAATGTACTGCGATGATTCCAATCACAAGCAAAGAGATGGGACCCAGCTAAACAGTGAAAGAAGAGTAGAATTAAAAACATACTCTTGCCATTGAAAAGATAAATGCAGGCTTTTAGTAAAACAGAACAGTTTTCAGCCAATCTTTAAACAATCATCATTCAAAAGAGGGGATGAAAAAAAAAAACCCAACCCAGAGGTGGATAACATGATCTTTGAATTTTGGTACATTTATCATGTAAATACTACAGTGTTTATAATTTGTTTTGGTTAATTGTCAAACTTACATTAATTTGTAATTCTTACAAGTTTTTATGCCTTATCAATCTCCCAATATTTTGCTGCCGAAACTCAACAGTAAATCACTCTTTTTCCTAATTATTGTGGCCATAAATTAATTCCTCAAAATGCAAACAACAAAAGCTAAAAATCCAGGCCTTTATCTTCTGATGTGGTCAGGGCATCTTCCATCGATTGCTAATTGCTGGAAAGAAACACCTCCTCACCCCAATCTCTTTACTTGCATCCATGCCAACAACACTTCTAAATCTCAATGAACAATTAAGGTAGACAACATTCTTCTAAAATTAGGACGAGGAAAAGGGAACAAGGTCAACCTGATTTATATTTAAACTCTGCTGGATCTGAAGGCATACTTATATATCAAACCTCAGCAATATAGGTGAATACCTATATACCAGAATGGGCAACAGAACCCTCCAATTTGCTTCAAAAAGAAAAGCTGGAAAGTTCTAATACCTTACTATTACCTGCATATGCCATGATATTTTAAATATATCTTCCTAAATAAGATACATTTAGCTATTTGTAGCATATAAAACCAGAAAGAAACAAACCACTGTCTGGCTTATCACAAAGTATGAATTCTGTCTGAAGATGCATTGATTTGTTTGTGGATATGTGTTTAATTTAACAGTTCTATACCCTGCAAAGGGTTGGTGAATTAATTAAGTTTATTCCTCTCTGTTTTTCATTTCCTCTCTCCAATTTCTAACCTTTTAAAAAAAAGTTGCATAAAATGGATATATGAAAATATATTGTTTCTTTTACTACAACTTTTATACACTTTGACTAATAAAAGTATCTTCACAACCAATTTTTTTCAACATAAAGCATCCTTATGTCAAGTTTTTATTAACACATAGTTTTGTGGGAAATGCATAATATAAACTATCAAAAGACAATTGTGTGCCAGTCTAGAAAATGTAAATTAGATAAATATGAAACATATTTCTACTGTTTCTTTAGCATAGTTTCCATTAGCACTCAGTATGTTCATCTTATTAATATTGTTAGTTCCTTTGAAACCCTTTTCAGCTTATTTTTTCCTGAAACCTATCTTTAATAAATACGACAGAAGCACCAAAAAGCCTATGGACAATGAAGAAACTTGTAGCTCCTTAAACACAGGTTGGTTACAGCATCAGTTTTAAATGAACCATAATTTACTCTATCAGATACATAAAGTTACAAACGTCCATAATTCACTATAACTCTTTGTGCATCTGTTCAAGAATAGTGGCATCCCCAAACATGTATATAAATAACACATAGTCTTACAGGTGCCAGAATGTTGTTATACTACAATAAGCTTCTGTTTACATTTATTTTCTGGTTCTTAACAATTGTTCTACCATTTTTCTGTTATTTATCATGTTGATAATCCACTCACTCCTCCAGAAGATTACTGAGGAGATGTTTCACTGGTTTCAATTCTTCCTCTTTCAAGCAGACTTCTCCATATTATTCGATTATGTGGCTTTCCCTCTCTCTTAGCTACTTCCTCTTGATCCTGTAATTCACTTTGAATCTTTATTTCCATGCTGACACAAGCCATTCACTTTTTTGTCATCTCCTTTTCATAATAGTTTTGCTTGTATTAGTGCCATCCTGATGTCTCCTTATTACTATTATAAAAACATGCTTTAGAAACAGAGAAAACATGAGAAAGGAGATAAGATTAATGTTAGCCCTTTGAGATGGGCCAAGTCAGGAAACAGACTCTGCAAGTCTGGCTGGAACGTAACTTTATTGATATAGGCCGCAATAACAAAACCTTGAGAGCTGACTGAGGTTTCTCCTCTCTTCCTCTTGTACATTAGTCTAAGGATCAAGAGGAGGACTAATAGAGAACTAATCAGTCCTCTTCCACATCAGGTCTGGCTTTTTTGGTTTGTATTCTCTGTTTCTCAGCCTTAAAGCATGCTTTTACAATAATTGTCTCTGCTTCGCTTCTTCAAAACCATCTCCTTGGCTCTCTTCAGTTACCTACATTCACGTATGCTGAGGATGTCAAAATAATAAAATTAGTACTGTGTTTGTAGCTAATTTATTTCTTTTGTATACCATATACATGACATTAGAACTATTTTTATATAACCTAATTCAATTATAGCTTATAAAATCTTAAGGACAGGTTTCTGAAAGACTTTGAATTGCTGGGAGAGTTCAAATGCTCAAATTAGAGTCATATTTAGTTTATGGAGCATGTTTAAAATGTTAGGGTACAGGATGTCCACATACTTGAGGATATGTTTTTCGTTAGTACAACCTACATACTTAATAACCTAGGTAATTATTTCAGAGAACAGAAAGTAAATATATTACACAGGCTGAGTTAAGTGAATATTATCTGATGTACAAACATGCACTTCCCTAATGTTAGATGGTTTATCAATAGAACAAAATGAGGAGGACACTAAAAATACTCTAGCTTAGATGTTTGCCATGGCACTTATTCAAATTGCTAGAAAATGGAACAGAGGTACATGTTTGAACTCCTCTTTTTTCAATGTTAGCAAACTTATGATGTTTTCTCTGTTCTAGCATGTATCATGGATGCTGTAATTATTTTAAAAGCAGTAAGGGGCCACTTCTCATAATAACTTTTCATTTATGGGGAATATTAATTATGTTATTGCCTTTCTTCCTCTCCAGTTACAACAAGGGCTTTTAAAAACATATATAGATATGTGGCAAATTCAGCAGCATTTCCATAAACCTAGTGGATGCAGTAGTAGGAAAAATACCAGTAATTGAGGGAAATAATATTTTACTGTATCTTTAGCATCTTGATTATTCTTCTCTTGATACAGGTCCACCAAAAATTAAGCTTGCAAATTGTCAATTACTAAAAATTATGTTGCAAGACTTTGCAACAGTAACAGTTAGTTTAGAAATAATAGCTCAGAGAAAGATCAGAAGAGATCCTCATTTTTTTCTCAGAACAAAATTTACTTGCCAACAACACCAATTTCTTGCTTAAACAAGCAAGAAATAATGTAATGAAACTTGCAAGTCAGGTTTTCTTCTCAAAGAATAGCCATGTGATCCCAGCCACTGAAACCAACAAAATGCAAAATTCTTACCACAATACCAGCATTTTTGATTGCTAACGGAAGTCCTAACAGGCCAGTGCCAACGTTCCCTTTCAAGAGATGTATTAAGGTTTGGTACCATCTGAAGAAAAAGAAAAAAACAATACAGAGAGATTAACTACTTCAAAGAACCTGTTGCTATTTCTTCAACATTAGAGATGTAAAACTTCTACTCTTCCAAACGTTGCAGAACTACAATTCTAAAAGTCCATGAAGCATATATAAAGTAAAGGATCTCAGGTGTTGAAGTTCAGCAACATTTGGTGGTTCTGAAATTTTTCATTCCTGGATTAGTGCAAATGAAACAAAAGCTGAAGCTGAAAGATTGCACTTTCTTTGGAGATGTGGGAGGGGTGCCTTATATAAGTATGTTAATTGCAGCATATATGGCAGCAGCCAGACATCTATTTTACAGAAAGCAAGCAGCTGCTTTATCAACTGTTAACACAGTCTTGATCCTATGTCCACATATGTCCACTCTAGCTTCAGCAGATCTAGTAATTCAATTGATAACGCAAAACCTCTTTTGAGGTTTTGAAAACATGCCAACACAAGCTTTCAAATAATATCACACTAGTAAAATTGCAGATACAAATTAAATTAATGTAAAGGTTTCAAAATGTCACAATTTCTCCCAAAAGCAAAGTCATTTTAGATTACAAAGTCTTAGCTTTTCTTGCACTTAACTGATACAGATTAGTGACACCAAATCAGGAACTTTAAAAAGGCTGAGAACACCGGCCATCATTTTATGGTGATTTCTGTCTTTGCCATCTTGGGCAAAGAGTAGATTTCTGTGTTCAGAATAGTTTGGGGAAAATACTAATAATGGATACAAATCTTTGAAATGGGAGAACCAGAAGTCATCATTATCTGAAGTAGTCAGAGGCCAGAAAAAAATTGACTTTAAAAATCTGAAATGTTAAATAATTCATAATGAAGCAATTCGTAATCAGGATATAAGTCTGCATGCTGTGTCCCCAGTTAATTCAATAAGTTTATCTGTGAATGAACACTGCTTTAGTTTTTTACCTGTAATCTGATTCGGCCCTGACATGATGCCTGCACACTTTTCCCTTAAGGTTAAATTAATTTGCCTACACATTTAGATGCAGACTGATTCTAATGAAGAATAAAACCACTTACGTTGTTCCATTTGTTTCTCCAAATCGTTGGTAGGATGATGGACTGGAAATATTGTTCAAGCCATCTGGGAAACTGCCATCGGGAGTCCCATCTGTTGAACTGTAATCATTGTAGTCTTCATTACACAACCTCTTGGTGGACATTGTGACTGTGGGAAAAGCATTATTAGTAACCGTAGCATTTACTAACTCAACATTTCCCACCTGGGGTTTTGTGGCCTCAATTACACAAAATTTCTCTAGATGGACCATGGCTGTAGCACAAGTGTTCTGCTCCTATCAATGGAACAAATTCTGGCAGAGATAATTATATATGTAGAATGCCACACCTTCTGACCTACACAAAGAGTTGCAACAGGAGCATATTTAAAGGAAAACTCCAGATCAGAGAAACGCTTTGGGATCAGCACTTTATTATAATTACCAAGTCAAAGTGTAACCCTTTCAAAGTTCAAAACACCCACATTTTCTCCCCATAGGTAAGAAATAGCATCTCTGAAATTCATTCACCCACGACCATTACCTTGAACAGTATCGACACAGATTTTTGTACTTTTGCATTTCTATCCAATTCTCCCCAGCCATTCTGTACTCAGAAAAGAGGTCAAGATAGATAGCTTTCTATCAACTAGTTCAGGTGATGTCTCTTTGAAGTGTGATTAGACATTAAATCCCAGAATAGCTAGACAATATGGCCGGGCTGGTAGCCAATCATAAGAAGCTGTAGCTTAAGCCTTGAAGACCACAATGAAGAACAATAAACTAGATGAAAAACAGTGAGTCTCAGATTTTAGGAATTTTAAAAAAACAACATGAATTCTCCAAAATTATGACAAAACTTTTCACTCATCTCCTTTCATCTCCTGACTCAGATACAGAATGAGATCAAACTAATTTTGATCATCTTGCAATGACTTTTACTTGATTCAGCATTCATTGCTTTCAGTGTTAAACAGGTCATTCAACTTTTAATGTCAATTTTATTGTCCAATTCTCAGACAGGGAGGGTATGTGGCAGATCCCATTGTTTAACTGGTAGGATCCAGGAAGACAGCCTCACACCTGGAGGCCTCCACTCTTCTGGCCTTCAGAAAGAATGTTAGGACCCATGTCTGCCAAATGGCATGGAAGTCAAAAATGTGATATGCAACCCTGGGATGGTTGGTTTCATGAGAGTGTTCTTTTTACCTCGTTAACTTTTAAACTTTTAATACCGTAACCCTACCTTTTAAATCTTTTTAACATTGTTCTTATTTATGCTTTTATATCGTATGTTTTTTTTTTTATTGTGAGCAGCCCAGAGTCATTGAGGTGAGATGGGCGGTGTACAAATGATGAATAAAAATACATTTCCTTATTGCTAAAAAGCTTTCTCTCAGGAAAATCTGCACAAAAGGAAGATATATAGCTCAGATCAACTTTTTGTCTATCCAAAGAAATAGAACTAAGAAGCACAAATATTGACTGTGATAGAAATGAAATACTTTTTGTCTTGGATTTAATTGTTTAACTTTATGGCTTTTCTTGGCATATTTTTATCGTGTGACATATTTTATCATTGTTATTGATTCTGTCTTTAGGGAGCTGTAAACTGTAAAAATCTACTTAGAACAATTTGGGTGCTGTATTAGTGAACAGATCATATTGTACTTATATATGCCGTCTGGTTCACAATGACCTTAGCAGGAAGCTAGCTCTCATTCAGATATAATGTTAAGCACAGAGTGCTCTATGAACTAAGTCATTTGCCTTGTTCAGCAACTGTGACATGAAAGATCCTGACCCAGCATTATATGTAAACTGTTCTTCAAAAATAGTAATTAAGAAAAGTAGGAAGTGTTATTAAATGTGTGTTATTTCTCAAAATCATGCATTTATGATAGCTACAGTATGAACCCAACACTAATTAACCAGAATTTTATATTAATTTTTCCAATTTATGTTTATAGGGAAAACTTGAGAGTAAACTGGAAGGGTTTCCAGCTTTCCATCCTTCTGTGATCGGGAAAATGAGGACCCAGATTGTTTGGAGGCAATATGATGACTCTGTAAACCCCTTAGAGAAGACTGTAAAGCACTGTGAAGCGGTATATAAATCTAAGGGCTATTGCTACTTTGAATCCAGATTTGAATTTGCTATATTCACAAATTCAAAAGAGATGCAGGGACACTCCTTCAGAGCTATATTGTTAACATCAGTTCTTCTGAGCTACTGACTGAATGCTATTTTTGGATTGCAAAACATCTTAATTCCAAAGGTGCTTTTTTCAAGAGGTAACTGGACTTTCTGGTTTTTCTTTGAAGACATTTCGCTTCTCATCCAAGAAGCTTCTTCAGCTTTGACTTCTTGAAGCTTCTTGGATGAGAAGCGAAATGCCTTCAAAGAAAAACCAGAAAGTCCAGTTGCCTCTTGAAAAAAGCACCTTTGGGACAACCATGACCTGGATAACTGAGAATCTCCATAGACAAGACATTTTAATACAAGAAACTGGACACACTTGGAAGATCTTCTGACTATTCCTGGAAAACAGAGGCCTTGCTAGGAAGACAGGATGTTTTGAAACTTGACTTCTAAAAGCCCTTTCAGATCTAATTACATATTTCTTCCAGTATTATTTATTCACATTTAACAACTGTATCAAATTAAACACAGCTGAGGCTTTTAGGACATTCCAAGGATGTGCTGATGTTATTTTTCTATAATATTTTAATACGATAACCACAGGCAGTTGGTTGTCAGTTAAATAAGTGTGGCTTAGTTCAGTATTAAATTATTGAGACTCCAACTGATTGACAAAAACAATGATTTGACAAAAATGAATCTTCGAGCTATTAAGAGCTTGCTACTACTCTGTTTGCGAAAGAGGTGATTAAATTAATCATAATTAGCCATCTTCTCTTCTAAGACAAATTTGGAAAAACTGATCAATTGGGCTAGCTTTTGGGGGGGGGGGAAGGCTACATGTTCTATAGTTCAAATTCAAGCAAATATAGTTTTCATGTATAAATAAATATTGACCATTTCATGCAGCAACATTTTATTTATTTATTTAAACTTTTTGGTTACCCAACTCCAATGGATTCTGGGCAGCCTAAGGAACCAGGGAAAAAAATAAAAAAGAGCTAAAACATTGAATCACACTGATAGCCCAGACTATAATAATCTAATGGAAAGCAAACCAATAAAACAAAACAGGGGACACTGAATGAATAATAAACATCAATCCCAGTCCTAAGAACAAAGTCAGATTTTCCATGTTTTCAGGAACCACTGGAGAGAAGGCACCAATTTTTTTTTTAAAAAAAAATAGATAGTACACAGACTTTCTATAATTTAATCCCATTATATTTTGGGACGATAAACAAAGTGACAGTCTCTCTACTAAAAGATGGCTGAGGGGAAATAATTTCATACTGCCAAGCTTGATTCACTGTAACATTTGAATTTGGGAACAGTTAAAAAGGCCAGCCCCTGTTTGTCCATAATCCCAACAACAAAGATAAAAGTGAGGATGCACATCAAATTTATTTAGTTTGAGCAAAGATCAGTAACAAAGAGAAACAACCAATCACTCCATCCTGACTCCCACAAAGATAATATGATGTTTAAATATCAACATAAAATTTGTTTAAAGAAGCCAAAATGAGCCTATTACTCAACAGAATCTGGGTTCATTTTGTCAGCAGCTATTGATGGCTGCTGTGCAAAATGTTCCAACGTTCTGCGTCACAAGTTTTTTTTTTTCCTGACAAAAGATAGCTAACATGAAATGTGTTAGACTAACCTGGCACATGTAATAAAAAGAATAATAAATTAGCCTTCTTAAACGGTCATTAAAGTAGAAACTATGTAGCATGAATGGATGAATTTAACAGCACAGGAGTCACATGAACAAGTTCAATAAGCTACAGGCTCGATATTTTTCATATTGTTTACCTACTGAGGATAAGATGTTAAATCTGGCTCTAAAGGATAATGTTTGCTGATTGGCAAAATCATGTACTATTTGTTCTCTGTTGTTCTCTGAGATAAGAATAGTTTCGCATTGATGTCCAATGCCTATAAGCTTTTTTTCTGATTATTTTCTTATCTAAGGTAAATTCCAAAAGATGAAGAAACTCTCACAATGAGAATTTCTCCGAATATATATTGCTCAAAAAAATAAAGGGAACACAAGCAGAAGACATCCGAGATCTGAATGAATGAAATAGCCTTATTAAATACTTTGTTCTTTACATACAGTAGTTTATACACTGCTCAAACAACTGAAGGGAACACAAAACTACTGTATGTAACGAACAAAGTATTTAATAAGGCTATTTCATTCATTCAGATCTCGGATGTCTTCTGCTTGTGTTCCCTTTATTTTTTTGAGCAGTGTATTTGAGACCATAAAGACTGAAATTGGCAGATGGCATAAAAGGAATCAATCCTGTGGAGAAATAATGGTATTTAGGCCAAATATATTTATTCATAGCCATGATCTTCTTTCAGTCTTCAACTGACCAGATTCTAATCTCTGGACTGCACTGGATGCACATTCAGGTGTGTGAGTATACATGTGTATGAGAGATACACATGATACAGATACAAAAGGGACATCATTTCAGAGCAAGGGTACTTTACCCTTTTATCCCCTTTAAGAAGTTGTTGGATAATCATTTGTCTGAAATGGTGTAGGGTTTCCGCCTGGGCAGGGGGTTGGGCTAGAAGACCTCCAAGGTCCTTTCCAGCTCTGTTATTCTATTCTATTCTATTCTATTCTATTCTATTCTATTCTATTCTATTATTCTATTCTATTCTATTCTAATTCTATTCTATTCTATTCTATTCTATTCTATTCTATTCTATTCTATCTCTCTCCCCCACCCCCCAAGTAGATATTGCTGTGAGTCATGTTCTTATGAACTTAGTCTGTGGTATCTGCAATAACTTGTAGTTTGGATAAAAATCCTTCTATGAACTACAGAACAATTACACTAAGGGTCTAACAAAAAGTTGTTCCAAAGCTGCATGAATGCATTGTCCACCTTTCAGGCAGAAAAATTTTAGAATAGTTTCTTGGAGCCTGTAAGATTACAAACTCCATGTATGTTTTTTCAGGACCCCAAAATTCTGAAACCCTACAGGAATATATTAAAATTCCACACTTGCTCTGCTGTCCTTCTATTATCAATCTTGATTTCCTAAATACTTTTGGAAAAGCCATCACTTTAATCTGCTGAAAACTAATTACCATCTGGTTTTCATCGCAAAACTGTGTTATGTTACTGTAGGCTCATTTAAGGCTAACTGGAGTCCTTTGAGTTAATTGTTGCATTATTATAAACAGCGAGAATGACACATTCACTTCTGCTACTTTGAGATGTTGCAAGTTTGAATCTGAAAATGTATTTGCAACTATGTTTACCTACAGAAAGAAAAGCAAAGGAACTAAAATGCAACGTTATTCAACTCCCTTATTTACCAAGATCTGAATTAATGATGAGACTTGTAGGTCATGTAGATAGGGCCAGTTCGGTCTAGTGGTTAAGGCACCCACTAGAAAACAAGAGACATTAGAACATGAGTTCAAATCCTGTCTTAGCTAAGAAAGCCATCTGGATGACTTTGGGCCAGTCACTCTCAGCCCAACTCACAGGTTGCTGTTATGGGGAAAAGGAAAGAGGAAGGCACATTGGATATATTCAGTACCTTGAATTATTTGTAAAAATAATAAAGGCAGGATATCAATAAATAAACACTCTAATTTGGGAATATTCAGATAGTTTTGAAAAAGAAATATTCAAAAGAAAGATTTATTTGAGCAATCATCACATCCTGTGCTAAACACATTTTTAATGAAAGGTAAAAATATTCATGACACCCGTACTAGCCAGACCATAAACCAGAATTTTCTTCTAATAATGGTGGGATTCAGCCACTTCAGGAGAACCGGTTGTTAACTTTCTGAGCAGTTTGGCAAAGTGGTTGTTGGAAGAAATCATTAGGGCAGAGAACCGGTTGTTAAATTACTTGAATCCCACCACTGGTTATACAGATAAAGAATGCTGAAGAAATTTAGGCACCATTTAATTCATTTGGAAGCATATAGGTCTATGAGCTAGCATTTGCTTAATAAGCCTGAAGCAATTTAGATCAAATAATAACAAACAAGTATTGCTTTAGGCTGAAATGTTGATCTTTGCAATTTTAGATTATATGACAAAGAATTGTTTATACTAAAATTGTGATTAAGCCTTCTGATCTTCTGTGCTGGGTTGTAAAATATTGGAATTGGCCTACTGATACCGTGTCACTGTGCAGAGATAAAGCATTATTGTAGGAATTTAAATATAACACCCACAGGCATTGTCTTATCTACAACAATATCTAAAACTTTTACCAAAACCCTTCTCATGTGTTTTCAAAATATACACGTGTGAGGAACCAGCTTTGTCACAGAATTCATCCCCAAGTTGCTGAATCATAGGGAGTTTCCTTTATTTTTCAAAAATATAATGAAACTGATTTTCTCAATGTCAACTACTTCTTTAAATGACTGGAAATGACTCCAAAACAATTTATAACATCTAATAAGCAAGCAACATTGATCATTTCTAGTACATGGCAAAGTATTTGTTTTGCCAGTCAGGGCAAGAAAACTCTCTAACAAATCTGAGTACAGATAGTTATCCAGCAACAATTGAATCATGTAATCCTCCTACCCCACTAGGAACATAAGAAATGAACTAAAAGAACACAGAGACAAGATTTTTGTTATACTCCTACGCACCCGGACTTAATGTCACCCTATAATTTCTGTAAATAAGCACAAGAGCCCTACTTTGAAAATCAGCCAGTAGAGGCACTTTATTACAAGTAGATTGTGTGTGTGTGTGTGTGTGTGTGTGTGTGTGTGTGTGTTAGAGATTACACAACAGCAGGAAGCATAAAAGGCTAATTCTATCCTAAACAGCAAACAAAGAAAAAGGAAAAAAAACCTTGCTAAGAAAGGTAGAACTTGGAAAAATACCAGACATTTACAACCTTAGATAGGAGAAATGTTAGCAAAGCAAAAGGATCCTTCAGAGATCAAGGGTGACCTATGTTCTTGTCCTTTTCTGACCGCAGTTCAAAACACAGCAGTGAGTACTTTTCATTCAAACACCAACTAAACTACAGAGAACTGTCTTCGGCATGGATAGAGTATTCAAAACATATAGTATAGTTTTAGAATTTATAATTCTCGAAAGTTTCCTGCTCCTATATTAATGATAATAATGCAACAGTTGTGCAAAAGACAGATGCTATGGTTTACCTTATTTGGTTATTGCCTCCTAAACATTGTCACTGTAATGGGAAGCTGTAGATAAAGACCAACATGCTGAAGTGAATCACAAACTGATGTGTTTTTACAAATGGAGAGGATATTATATTACACTTAGGCTCCAACCTATCCCTCTGTTTTCCAGATGTGTTTGAACTCTGGAAAGTCCTGAACTGGTCCTCACTTAACAACCACTCATTCACTGACTGTACAAATGCACAACATCTTTGAACAAAAGTGATACTTAGGATCAATTATCACAGTCATGTGATTATAATCCAGGCACTCAGTGACATGCTTAGTTACAACGCTGCAACATCCTATGGTCACACAATCACCATTTGCGACCTTCATTGCCAGCTTCTGACAAGCAAAGTCAATGACGAAGCCGGCAGAAGGTTGCAAATGGTGTTCTTGTCATCTCACACTCAACAAAGGTGCAGGATTTGCTTAATACATTAACTAGAAGTGCCGAAACTGCCCTGGCTAAACAATGCAGTCACACAATGTCACATTTTGTGATGTCACTTAGCTATGGAAATTTCAGTTGTTAAGTGAGGACTACCTCTTCAGTGTTCACACATGTCTGGAGAACATCAGGTTGGAGAGAGCTGTTTGAGAGGCTTAGTTGTTCTTCATTGTTCCTGCATTCTACTTTGGCTAATGTAGCAATCCTGAAAGTCTCTATTTAGGAATTATAGAAGCCTTGGTGGCGCAGCGGACTAAAGTGCTGTTAAGTAGCACTTAGCTGCCATCTGCCTGCAATTACTGCAAGTTCAAATCTCACCATACTCAAGGTTGACTCAGCCTTCCATCCTTCCGAGGTAGGTAAAATGAGGACCCGGATTGTGGGGGCAATAAGCTGACTTGGTATAAAAAGAACACAGCTTGGGGGGCGGGGGCTGAAAGCCCTACTAAGCAGGTATATACAAAAGTATGAAGGCTATTGCTTAACCCATTGTAAGCCGCCCTGAGTGTCCGGAGAAGGGCGGCATATAAATCGAACCAATAAATAAATAAACTATTAGTTCTAGCTTTGAAGCATTTTGTAAATTGCCTCCAGATCATTTCCCTAAACAGGAAGAACTTCATTGCAGAAACATATTTTACACACAAACATACCTACCTACACATGCACACAGAATCATTATCTAAACCACACCTACTCCCATAAAGATATTTGTACAGTGTTCATATACTGCATTTTTCTTTTCCCTATTCCTTCATTCAGAACTATTCCAATGGCAATTATTCCAACACGCATTAAACATGAGCACGATACTTATTTAGACACCCTAATGGAAATGTCTCATTTTTACCCCTTTCCTAACCCAAGGAGATCCACACAGTTTCCAGCTGGTGGCATTTATACTATTTCTGTAAACAACTACTCAAATTCAGTAGGAAAAAAAAAATCCCAAGCCCTTTCCCTTGCTTGGTTTCACTTTCTAACAAATGCTTTTTCCAGGGTTAAAGATATTTTAAAAAGCGTAAGGCTTTTCACATAAAGCGTTTTCTCAGCTGATTATTTGCCAGACGACCCACTCCCCAGCCTCCACCTGCCCGCTCCCCACCCCACCCCGGGCTGTGCCAGCCTTGTGGGCCTCCGCACAGCTGGGAGAAAGCCCGGACGCTCCCCTGCCTCGGGGGCCACCGAATGCTTGGCCGCATCAGCGATACGAAAGCCGCCTGAGAAAAGCAGCCTTGCTTGTTTTCCCAATTGCACGCAAGCCAAGCCTCTAGTCCTCATGCCCCCTCTCCCCCCCCCCGATCCTCCTATAAGCCGGTCCCCGCACGCACCTTTATCAAGCTCCCACAAGCCTCTTTTCGTGCCAAAAGCCAGACCCACCTCCACCATGAATCTCTTTGCCTTTGCCTTTTCCTTTTCCTTTTCACCGGCTTTCCATTTTGGCCCCTTCCTGTGACAGGTCATCTGATTGGACTTGCTTTCTCCTCTCACGTGACCACGCCGGGTCCGCGGTCGACGTGGAGATGGTGTGACGCTTTGGGGAAACGCGGGAGTTGTACTCCGCCCCGGGCTCGGCGACTCCGACTTCCGCCCAAACAACTTAAACAGCCGGCTCTGTTTTGGGTTTCGAACCTTCACGCCGCCGCCCGCAAGCTTTTGACTTGCGCCCCTTAGAGGGACGCCCGTTCGTTGCAGCGGAGAAGCCGCTGGTTGCTTTTGCTGCTGCTGCTGCGGTAAGCTCGGCCGCGCTTCTTCTTCTTCTTCTTTCTCCCGCTCTGCGGCGGTGCTTTCTGCAGGAGGAGACGCGCGGAGGCCAAGGCGGAGCCCGCCGGCTGCGGTTTAGCTTTGCCTGGCTTTCGCGGCTCTTGTATAGCAGGGCCGGGCCCGTCTGGTTATTATTGCATCTGCAGGGAGAGCTCGGTTGGTAAGCGAAGCGTGCAAGGGCTTTCTTGGTACGGCTTCTCGTCGTTATCCCTATGAGAAATCGTGCAATCGTCCTGAGTCGTTCGTCATGGTCTCCTTTTCGCGGGGGATGCTCCTCTCTTCCCAAAATGGATTCCGAGGACCAGTGAATTAAAATCTCGGGTGTTTTCCCGCGTCATGTTAAATCAGTTAGTTAAAATGTTTAAAATTCTGTTAAAATCCTAGCTTAAAAATCTTCTAAAAATCTTTACAGAGCACTCTGCAAGGTCCTTTAAAACCTTAGCTAAAATCCTCCCAGTACCTTAAAAATTTTTCTTATAGCAACGTTTCGACAGGCTCACAACCCTGTCATCTTTAGGCTCTTATCTAGTTTAGAAGCTGTGGGTGTGTTGGGAGCACCCACAGCTTCTAAACTAGATATATATACATATATATGTATACACACAAACACACACACACACATATATAGGTGTTCTAAAATGCCCTGAGCTATTTCGAAGTGGAGAAAGTAAAGGATCAAGAATAGGATGGAATCTTTCAGCCAGCAAAAAAAAAAAAAAAAGAGTGGTTTCTAGCCCTTGTTTTGTTTGTGTTTGTTTAGCTGTCACCGAACAGCTTCAGATTTTTGGTAAATTTATTAACTAGAAAGCCAAGGAGAAAGGAAGGCGATCTCGTGGGATTTTTCACTGGGAGTTGAATGGCCTATTAATTTAATGCATTATTATTATTTCCACCAGATATCAAATGCATGATATCATTTCAGCCCTGGTTTGTTGAAACAGGGCTTGGTTACCTCCTGTTTGGATCAGTACAGCACACTCATAAATTGTAACTGGTTCAGAATGCCTCGGCCTGGGCAATTATTGCACTACTCTTTGCCAAACTGCATTGGCTTCCAAGGTGCAGTCTGGCTACAATCCAAGGTGTTATTATCCGTAAAGACCTGTGGTGGCCCAGTGCCATGTAATGCGACTTCCTGCCTCCCATTTGTTCTGCTTGTTGCATAGATCCAACAAAATCTGCATGCTCCAGGTCCCTTCTGTGACAGAGTGCCATCTAGCGGGAAGCATGGCTAATTTTTGTGTCTGTCAAAGCACCTGATCTGTAGAACAGTTTCCCCCAAGATTTAGAGAACCCTGATGCTATTATAAGGCTCTTAAGACTGTAAGGCAAAGTTTCTCAAATGTGGCCACTTCTAAATTATGAGGGATCCTTGGTGAAAAGTTTGCTTGTTTTCTTGCAAATCTTTCATTACCCAAACTAAGTAACAACATCAGTGCTAGCTGTTTGCTGCCAGTTTATATGATTAGTTAAAGGTAAAGGTTCCCCTCGCACGTATATGCTAGTTGTTCCCAACTCTAGGGGGTGGTGTTCATCTCTGTCTTAAAGCCGAAGAGCCAGCGCTGTCCGAAGACATCTCTATGGTCATGTGGCCAGCATGACTAAACGCCAAAGGCGCACAGAACGCCTTTATACCGTATTTTCCCAAAAATAAGTCCCTGTCTTATATTTTTTTGAACCCTGAAATAAGTGAACCCTGAAATAGCCATGAAGCACTGATGATGTTATCTAGTTTGGGTAATGCAAGAAAACAAGCAAGCTCAGAGAACACTAAGGACCCCCCATTTCAAACCTGAGCTACAAATATTCTCCTTTATTGGTACTGTAAGCTATTTGAACTTCAACTGCTAAAATTCCCTAGCCAGGCTGGGTAGGACTTCTTGGAGCTGAAGTCCACATGTCTCACAGATGTCAAGGTTGAGAAACACTGCTCTGAGCATTGTTTAGCATATTGATTGGTCTCCTTGGTTAACAATTTCTTTTGTCTTTGATATGCTCTGCTTTTGTTTTGTTACACCAGGTGGCCATACAAGTCGCAAGAAGTAAACCACAGTGGCTGGATTCGTGTGTTACGCTAGATGGTAAACCATAGTTTGCAAACCTTCGGGAATACCTGGGTTCCTTTAGTCAGTGCACTGCAAACACTATTGCTATGTACAGTGAGCAAACCCAATTTCACTGATCATCAGGCCAGACAACAAAATGAGATGAGTTTTCATCTCAGAATAACAGAGTTTTAAGACTGAAACTAGATTGCTAATGAAATCTGTTAGACAAGTATGTTTTGATATACAAGCAATGAATTTATCTCATGAACGCAGTTTAAACAGTCTGCAATCAAATCACATACTAATCCTTAATTTGCTTCATCATGGCTTGCAAGAAAGCAAAGCATATTTTGATGTAGGGGACTGCACAAACCCAGCCACAGAGAGCCCAAAGCTCTTAAGTACATATATTTGCACTTTTAGATACAAAAACCAGGAGTAACACTTCTCTTGTTCTTGTCCTCTTAGATCAGATTTGCTAAATATGCCCTTTGACAAGTGCCCTTCAATATTAGACCACGACTCCCCAATGTGTGTAACTCACAATGAATTGACTTCCTTCTCCCACAATATCTTATGACTCAAATTGGATATACTGTATTTTTCGCTCCATAAGACAGGTGGAAAAAAGTGGGTGGAAATGTCTGTGCGTCTTATGGAGTGCATATTGTGTCATAGACCCTGGCCGAAAGCCCTGCCCCGCTGCATCCCTCTGTTCCCCCCCACATCCAGGAACTCTGGGAGCTGTAATCCTCAAGCTGCTGGGAAATGGCAAACGAGAGATTGGAGGCCAGGAAGACACCAGGGAAAGCGGGCACCTCTGATGCAGGGGTCAGGCAGGGTCTTCTGATTGAAATGTCTTTGAATATTAGTAGCTCGGGATGGTAGTTATGTTGTTGGTTTGAGCTCAGAGCTTGGCAGTTTGGTTGCAAACATTTCGTCCCCATTCTAAACCCAGCTATTGGAATTCATGTTTTCTGAGAAGGGACCCATGACCCGCAGTCTCTGCCCATGCAAAAGCCCAACCCTGGTTAAAACAAAGCAGACCCTTGGTTAGGAATGGATCAGCGGAAGCATGTTTTGCAAATAGAGGCCCATCCCAAAGGTGCTTTTTCAAGAGGCATATAAATGTAAATAGAGGCACACACTCTATGAATGAAAAGAGAGAAAGAGAGACCTCTCTTTTTTAAAAAATTGTGGTTTATAGGACTTGTAATGCAAAGTTGCCGAGGAGATGTGGCACTTGGTTTTCTTCTCTGGCTCACAGAAAGCAAGGAAGCCAATGCGAATGAAATACAAGGCATAGCAATCTGCAAGCTCACCCCGAGAAAAGCAAATTACTAACAATTGCTGTAGGTCACAATTAAGCCAAAGCAAACCCAACAAATAAAAAACAAGAAGGTTGTAATTGGAATGTCCTGGAATTTTTTTTTTTTATTCTGGACCCAGCCCAAGTCCTCTGCGATTCTACAACTTTGCAAAGTCTAGTTTTTTAAATCAACAGGGTGAAATCACGCCCACCCTGCCGCATGCTGGGACTTTATTTCTCGTCAGAGAAGAGGATGCCGGTAGTTGTAGTTCTTTTAAAAGGGAGTCATGTGCAGAACTGTGTCTTTTTTTCCGCTCTTTTCTCTGAGTGCGGCATTGGTCTTTTAAAGTAATGTTTATCAAACTGGGCAATTTTTTAACAATATGTGGACTTCAATGATTCCCCAGCCAGCAGGAGTCTGGGGAATTGAAGTCCTCACATCTTAAAAGTTGCCTAATTTGAAAAACACTGGTATACCTAGGAGACTGGAGGCTAAAACATAAAAAACGGTTGCTGGAACTGGGTATGTCTAGTCTGATGAAAAGAAGGACTAGGGGAGACATGAGAGCAGTGTTCCGATATATCGGGGGCTGCCACCAAGGAGAGGGAATTAAGCTATTCTCCAAAGAACCTGAGGGCAGGACAAGAAGCGATGGATGAAAACTAATCAAGGAGAGAAGCAGCCTAGAACTAAGAAGAAATTTCCTGAGTTAGATCAATTAACCAGTGAAACGACTTGCCTCCAGAAGTTATGGGTGCTTCGTCACTGTAGGTTTTTAAGAAGAGACTGCACTTGTCTGAAATGGTATAGCGGGTTGAGGTAGAAGACCTCCACTATTTTTCAGCAGGGAGTTGGACCAACTGCTACTTTGTTATTCTGTTACAGCTCCAAATTGCAAAACAATTCGTATAGGTCAGGGGTCCCCAACCTTTTGGACCTCAGGGACCACCAAGTTCATAATTTTAAATCCCGCGAACCACTAATACTAATCCAGCGTGCCACTTGCTGAAGCGCCTGGACTCCCAGTGACGGGATGGAGTCCTTCAGGCACTCTCCCTCCTCTTTCTCTCTCTCTCTTCCCTCTCTCTCTCTCTGGCTAGTCCCATATTCCAGAGCTCTAGTCACAGGACTGGCCATTGCTCATTCTGGAGCAGCTTCTCCACTCAGGTGCGCCAAAATTTTCTCACGGACCACCAGTGGTCCACGGACCACCGATTGGTGACCACTGGTATAGGTGACTTCATCTAACTGAAGGTAAAATCTCCACTTCTTTTTATGTCCCTGCAGTTTTTGTCACCCCCTATGGAAGAAGTTTGTCACATGAGTGTCTGCAATAGTCCAAATGCTGACCTTTGCAATGACACCTCACAAATGCTGCCATAGTGTCTTTTGGGGGCAATATCAGTCGCATCAGTGCTACAATTTGGGTACTACTGCTATCTGGATAGCAAGATGCAATGACAACATTTGTGTGAAGTTGCTGAGTGTGCATGTAATAATTTGCACTTGGCATGGTGGTTTTGCCATTGTGTTCTTTTCAGGTGGTTGTTTTTTTCAACCTCCTTCTGTGCCTTGCTTCTGCTACACCTATCTGTGGACCTCTCAGGCTCCGCCTCCTGCCCTCACTATACTGCTGCTCCATATTCAGCGCTCCATATTCACAGTACTCTGATGGGGGCACCTACTATAAGGGGCCATTCTGATGGGGTGTAAGGGGGTACTGCGGAAACAAAATATGGTTGCATGTATAGTGCCTAAGAAAGTGTCCTCTAATAAAGTGTCCTCTTTATAAACTGTTCCCTATGAAGGTAAAACCTTAAACGTGTCCCCCATAACAGTGCAGATCAGCAGCAGATCCATCCGCGTAACAGTATGTCCGCAGCAGATCCCCTATAATAATGTGTCATTCCTTGATGTTCTCAGCTACAGTGCTCTCATAACAATGAAGGACACATTACTGACAGTTCTTTCACTGCTGTATTTTCTTGCAGAAAAATACTACGGTACCTCCTCGTGCTACATACAAGGATGTCAAAGCAGAAAAGACTAGTATATAAAATTCCTTTTAAATTGGAAGTAGTAAAATACGCTGAGGAACATGGAAACAGGGCAGCGGAGAGACATTTTGGGTCACCTCCAACTGAAAAAATGATAAGAGAGTGGAGGAAACAAGTGGATCAGCTGCAAAAAGTAGATAAAAGCAAGCACACTTTTCGTGGGCATGCGGCAAAGTGGCCACAGTTAGATGTGTACCTGAAGGAATGGATCACACGTCACCGGAATAATGGCTTCTCAGTTTCTACAAAAATGATAATATATGAAGCCAAACGCATTGCTGTAGAGAAAGGCATTCAGGATTTTACTGGATCACCATCATGGTGCTACAGATTTATGAGGCGATGTGGCCTTGCTATGCGCACCAAAACTAGAATTGCACAAAAAATGCCAAAAGAATATGAATCTAAGATTCTGTCTTTTCATAAATTTGTAATTGATGCTAGGAAGAAAAATAATTTTGAAATTGGCCAGATTGGGAATATGGATGAAGTCCTGCTAACCTTTGATGTGCCATCTAATAAGACACTTGATCTTAAAGGTGCCAAAATCATAACCGTGAAAACCTCAGCACGTGAGAAAACACATTACACAGTTGTGTTGTCCTGCTGTGCAGACGGCACCAAATTGCCACCGATGTTAATTTTCAAAAGGAAAACCTTTCCAAAAGAAGTGATTCCACAAGGAATTGTTGTGCATGTTCATGAGAAAGGACAGATGGATGAAAATGGAATGAGAGTATGGGTTGAAAAAGTGTGGTCCAAACGTCCTGGAGGGCTTCTGAAAAAACCTGCTTTATTAGTGCTTGACCAATTTAGAGCACATATTAGTGAAACTACAAAAAAGAGCTTTAAAGAAGTGAAGACTCATCTAGCTGTAATTCCTGGGGGTCTTACCAGCCAGTTGCAACCTCTGGACGTTTCTATCAACAAACCATTTAAAGTCTTTATGCAAGAAGAGTGGAACAAATGGATGGCTGCTGGTAATCATATGACACCTACTGGACAAATGAAGAGACCCACTATCACTCAAATTTGTGAATGGGTTAATACATCATGGCACTCAGTGAAGGATGAAATTGTTGCACGGTCATTCAAAAAATGTGGCATTAGCAATGCCTTAGATGGAACTGAAGATAGTATTATATATGAAGATAGCGAAGAAAGTGATATCAGTGATTATGAGCAACTGAGCTTCATAAATTCTGACACTGGCGAGTTCTTGGGGTTCCCAGAAAAGTAGAAGAGTGCTTGAACTTTAGTCTCTCCTCATTTGTTAATGAGAGTGATGATGGTTCTTAAGATCACTTGATTTTACATGGTTGAAATATTCTGCTATATTTTATTAAATATATTAGTACAGCACTTGGTTCAGAATATTTTTTTTCTTGTTTTCCTCCTCTAAACCTAGGTGCGTCTTATGGTCAGGTGCATCTTACTGAGCGAAAAATACGGTAATTTTATATGGTTGTTTTTTTCACTTAACTATCATCAAGTCACTTTTAATAAAATATGTAGAAAGGAGGATGTAAAATAGTGGTTAAGAATGTGTTTTGTACTATGCCTGTTTATGCAATAAAATACATTAAAAGGAAATATCTTCATGAAAAGTTTTTCTTACGTAGTAATAGGCTATTGCAGTCAAAATGTGGGTTTTTTAAAATATGCTGTATTGATATTCATTTTCAATAAATAGAACTGGAAACGAAATCTGGTTTTGTTCTAGTAGCTTTAGTAACTGAATGATGTTTTAAAAATCCAGATAAGAGTTTTGCTATCTATGAATCATTATGCCATATCAAATTGTTACCATTTGTTGCCTGACTATCACAAGTCTATTAAAAAATACCTAAACTGAAATAGTAAAAGGTCAGCAACATTACCCAGTAGTGCAGAAAAATATCTCTGTGGCTTACAGATGATTGCAGCACCTGGGCAGCCTTGACTGATCTTAAAAAGTTTAGGAGAGTTGGAACAGAAAGTCCTTGAATGGAAGATTACCAGGAAATCATGGGGATATAGACTAGACTGGGGAGGGAAGAATTTTGCAGAAGACAACTGTGGTAGATTGTTTCTGACTTGTTGCTAAAAAATTATGTTTTGTGACCAAAATGTTACCAAGGATCAGTTTCAGAGAAATTTTGTATGATCTATTTCCCACATTACTCATCATGACAACATAAGGGTGCTCTTTACTTTTACAATGCTTAGAAGCAAAAATGTGTTATAAAGGCATTAAAAGGAATAAAGATGGCCTTTTTTTCCACTTCAGCCACCATATATTATCATTTCCATTTCACTTTAAGAGCATATGAATTGCATTTTTATAGGAATGGTTTGAATTCATTACATGTCTACTTTATTATAGGACAAGGAAGTTAATTTTGAATTCCCATTGTTCCATTCAGAAGAAAAGGTATTGCTCGTGTCACATATCTCTCTAAATCAAGATTGGGATTTAAGTATGGTTATTACAGAAACTAAGAAAACCCATTCTCAATGAAAAGTAGTACAGGAAAAGTTAAGGGAAATTTTTTAACAAGACATACAACAAGTATGTAAATTGCTTCCTTATGATTTTAACACTCGAATACTTCATAGCAATTACCTTTTCAAGTTTTTTGCAATGCTTTTGCTGTACAAAGTTGTAACAGTAGTTTACTGAAAAATGTTGGTCACATAGCCATGCCATAGCTCTGTCAATTAAAATAGAAGTACAGGATAATTGCATGGTTTGAAGGCAATATAGTCATGTCTAGAATCTTTTTTATACATGTGATTTAGATACAATTGTATGGATGAGAGAAGGTGATCACTGCATTGCCATATGCAAAAATGTAAAGAAATTTTTGCAGCTCTGTTGTTTTCCCAGATTCTTACTTGCAAATTTCATGTACTAAAACAAAATTTCAAATTTAAGAGAAAAGATTAAAGAATTAAAGAAGATTAAAGAAAAGATTTAAAGAAAAGATTAAGAAGCAACAGAAATTCTCTAAGCATAGTTTGGATTGTTACTCCAACATAAGGTGTGATGAACTTTTCTTGTTCATACCAAATGATGTAACTTATTAGCATTAAGGTAAACATGGAACATATTGTATATAGCGGAGATAGATCAAAAAGCATATTGTGTAGAATAGATGGAAGAACCAAGATATAGGAAGCTAGAGAATAGAATACAAAACTATTTTAATGGAATGACATTTTAGCCTATCCTTTTAAACTGTGGAATGCCATCAAATTACAGGCAACACCAAAAATTCAATGAAACCTTACTTGAGAGGCATATTTCTGATAATGTTGTTAAAAGCAATAGCATCAAAATACACATTTCTGCACAGAAATGCAGGTGTAGAAGCTAAGGACAACGTGAAAAAAATCAACAGAATACATCCAAGGTTACTCCTTGCAGTTGGGAGAAAGATTCTGTAATTTTTAAATCAAGCAATAATTCCTGTCAAGCCTAATTCCTAAACCATAGCTATAAGGGCAAGGATTATTTTCCGGATTGTTTGCATGAATGCACCTTAAGCACTAGCTAGCATGGTCAGGAGGCAGGGATTATCTGCATTGTACCTAATTGGCTCTGGCTAATTGCAAAAAGCTAAGCTGTTTCAGATCTAATATACTTGGATGGGAGATATCGAAGGAAACCTGAGAACTATAGGTTAGATTGGGAAGTAAAACAGAATCCCAGAAAGTTGCAAGGACACACTATACTTTTCTATTATTGCTGGAATCAATTACATAGAAACCTTGAGGCAACTACCAGGAGTCAAGTCCAGCTCTAGAGCAGCTTACTTTTTAGTAGTCCAAAATATCTAGAAGACATCGTGAGAGCTTGTATGGTATAACATCTAAGGTGCTAGAGTAGAAATGGGAAACCAAGTTCTAGTCCTCCCTTAGATGTGAAAGTCAGCTAGGGAACCTCAATCAAATAATTCCTTCTAGGTCCAAAACAGCTTCTGTCTCTAACAAGCTGGTGGTAAGTAGAACCCTTCATCACTCCATGGCATGTCAGCTTGGCTGTAAGAACTGCAAGCCCAGTGTAAAAGAAGCAGATCCTGCCACAAATGCTGAAAAGAACAGCACACCAATGCTTCCTTCCATTAATAAAGAGGCTTATGACGGCTCATTGTTAATACTTCTCAAGCGCTGTGATCAGAAAATGTTTCTAATTTTAACATACTTTGCTGAGACAGCAATAATACACTCTCATTGCATCAGAGAATAGCAATAGCACTTAAGATTATGTACTGCTTCATAGTGCTTTAACAGCCCTCTCTAAGCAGTTTACAGAGTCAGCATATTGCCCCCAACAATCTGGGTCCTCATTTTACCCACCTCGGAAGGATGGAAGGCTGAGTCAACCTTGAGCCTGGTAAGATTTGAACTGCCAAATTGCAGGCAGTCAGCAGAAGTAGCTTACAGTACTGTACTCTAACCACTGCACCACTGTGGCTCTTATCACTTGGCAATCACTGTTTGGAGACTGAATCTTCTGTAACAGGATATTTATACATGGCATTCAAATTATGGCACACTATCACATTTAATTGATGTCTTGAGTTATTTGATTATCTCACTAATCACTAATTTGTTCTCCAATTAGATGATCAGTTTTGCTTAATGCATAGGATGTATGATAAGCTAGAAAATAATAGATAATTAGGTTCTAAGATGCTTGTTAGTAAATGGAGCCAGTTGGTTCCTTAGGAACAAGAAAATCAGTCTTCAAACAAGGAGAGAAATGCGCATTTAGAGGGATATGTGCTGCTTTTCCCAGCAATACCTCTGCAAGCACTTCATTTTTAAAAAAGAAGAGTTAGTGCATTCTTACATAAAAGTGGAAACTGCTCACTTTTAAAAAATGCTTCTTTTCATGGTTGCTGTGACTTGCCTCCCCAAGAAAACATTAAGCTTATGAACAAAAAGACAAGGACACAGGTTATTATGCAGTGGATAATACTAGCTAACAAAATGTACCGCTTAAGAGGGTGTAAATGGAATGAATTGCAAAAAATAAATGGGAACAATCCTGATTTTCTCAGTATTTTTCTTAGCTCCCTCATTCACAAAGCTCATCTCAGGATAAAAAAGGCTGGTTGAATTGCACAAGGCATCATTTAGAAACTGTCCATTACTAAAAAAAAAAAAAAAAAAAATACTTCTGGTATACTGAAAGAGCCATTCCATATAGGTTCTGTAAAGTGTCAGAGAGGTAACCAAATCTAGCTAGACTAAAGGAGCATCCATAAAGTAGAAAATGTAATTTCTCCAGGGGTTTTTTTGATACCTGGCTCAGATTATCCTGTCGTCAGTGCACTTCCACTATCTCATCCCTTGAAGAGGCCTCTATCTACCATTTAAGACTTTGGAATGTAGGGAAACCTAATAAGGGAATCCGCCAATGGAGAGTTGCAGTGCTGGGCCCATTGAACCTGCCAGCTAAACATATTCTTAATGTATGCAGATTCCCATTGCTATAATTTGTAGAACCTGGTCCTTAATAAGTTTTAGATGGGTAGGCATCTTTTTCTAATAAGGAGCATTCTTTCCTTGGATTTTCCAATCAGTGTTCCCAGTAATTTAAATGCTGCAAAGTAACTCTTCGTGTTAGTCATAACAGGATAGAAAAAAGCTGGGAGAAGCATGGCACTTGGCGCTAAGACTCAGTGTAGCCACCGTTTCTCAGACTGCAAGGAGAAAGACAGCTTGGTGCAGGACATCTCTTGGTCCCCGTTGGTCAGCACAACTCTCATCTTGTAGTCTCCATTGGTGAGGAAAGAAGGCAAATCCATGTTGGGTATGAAGAATTCAGAGGAAGGAAGGCTGTAGGTACCCTGAAAAGAAGAAAGACAAACCATTGCATCAGTCTCCATAAATTGATACACTGCCTTTCCTTGTCTTATCAGAGTACAGTTTCAGTACCAATAAACCACACCAAGGTTTTTTTAAAACAGGAGCAGAAATGAGGAAGCATTTACAGGATGAACTACTGAAATAGCTCTTCAGTATAATCGGTAAAAGACCAATGCAAATTGCTTAAACAGAACTCTACACTTGAACATAACCCAGTATGAAAAATTCTACTGTCTGCTTCTACATTGTTATTCAAGTTCTTAGAAGCAGTTGTGGATAGTCAACTGCTATCCGGCAAATCATCTATAGTCCAAGATGCTGGCTAGCTCCTCTGAGAAAAAGGATAACTACTATGGCAAGGTGGATTGCTAAAAGCAGTTTTGGAAAAAAAAATTGGAAATTAGCACTGACAGAATAGAGAAAAGCAACAGAATTGGGCTGAAATGGGGCAAAATAAAGAGTTCTGGAAAACTTGCACAAGGATTGCATTTTGTGGTCTTATCTTTCCATAGCAAGCCATATGCTTTCACAGAAAATCCAGATTCACCTTTGAAAGATGCCCAGTTCTATTTGCAAGTTAATTCCTTTATTTTAATGCCTCATTATTTTTTAATTGATAAGTTTTCACAGAGATGCACTGCATTATGGGCCACCTGAATGTATTCATTTTGTAATCGTAAGGCTGAGGTTATGTAAATAGTAAAAAAACAAAACAAAACACCAAAACCTTAGAGCAGATTTGACTCTAGCTGAAAATCCTGGCAAGTCTATCATCTATGTCTGGACACCCCTGCATTAATGGAGGCACGCAATTATTGGAGGTGCACAACTTTACTGAGAGAGGGGTGTAAGGAGCTGCCGATGCCCAAAGGATTTTGTTGCTGTGTTTCCAAGACTAAGAAACAAAAGGAGGAAGAGGGCTCACCGCTTTGAACGGGCAATGACATGGAATGCCATAAGTTTGCAAAGGCGGTGGACATGGCTCGCCTGGAGGGATGAGACTGTCCAGCAAGGCACAAGTATCATCATAGATGCAGCTCCCAAGTTGATCCACACAAGGGACTTTTATCCACATATCTCCAAGCTTCTTCTCCAGGATGACAACTGCCTGGAAACAGATGTGAGCATTAATATTCTGTCTGAAAATTTCTTCCTGTCATTAATACAACCTGGTATTAACCACCACCATCCCGCCCCCACTAGCATGTTGACAGCAAATGAGTTAAAATAACTTGAGAAATCAGTGATTGCACAGTTAATTCTCTGAACGTGTATCACTGTTTAGGCTACTTGCTTGGAAGAAATAAAGCAATAACCCTGTTTCATCTTTAAATGCAGAGGAACTGAATCTGGTTTGACAGCTAAATTCGGGACACCACCTTATCTGGGAGAAGATAAATATCAGGGAGATACACCTTGAAATAGGTGTAAATCACAGCCCCAGAAAAGCACCTTCTACCAATGTCACGTTTTGGACAAAGGATGCAACATTCCCAGTAAGCTCAACTGGGAGATAAAATTGGAAGTTGCCGTTTTATTTTTCTATTCATCTTGGGACAAAGTATGGGAGAAAGCCATTTGCAAAACATTACTTAATTATAAAATGCACCACATTAAAAGAGCATGTTCATAGATAGGATTTATTCTCCATGAAATTATCCAACATTACTGGAGTTAAAAGGAAGGATGACAATATCATTCTATAAGGAGTATTAATGAGCAAAAAACATTCACTCTAATGTTAAGCTATAATCAAGTGGGCACCCATGATATAAACCTAATGACCAGATGGGAAACTAATGTCAGCCAGATGCAATTTTTACTTTAATTAAGCAAGGCAGCTCTTAGGTTCTCAGATATCATAAGCCACCATCTGTGAGCAGTAGAGAGCCATACAAATTCTGCAAGGTTCCACCACGCTCTTCCCATTTATATATCCTTTTTAGTACAGAAAGGTTGTTTTCTCCAACCTGGTGCTTTCCAAAGGTTTTATGCTAACATGCCCCCCCCCAACCTTGCCTGGCTAATAGCTAAAACACTATCCTCTAACACAGGGTGTTAAACTCGTAGCCCGTGAGCCAGATGTCTGTCGCGCTGGCCATGGCCACACCCGGTTTAGTGAAGGGGGGAAAAGTCGTGATACGTCACGACGCCATGACGATGCGAGTTTGACACCCCTGCTCTAACACATCTGCAAAGTATCAGCTGATGTCAAAATATAACCTCCTCTTTCCCAGCCATTTATTCTCATTCCTTTTTTCTCTGTGAATATTCTGTAGAGTAGGGGTGTCAAACGCACATCATCATGTTGTAGTCATGTGATGTTGTGACTTTTTTCCCTCGCTAAACTGGGGCGTGGCTTGAGTGTTATGCATCTGGCCTGCAGGCCGTGAGTTTGACATCCCTGCTCTAGAGCTCCTAAAGGAAATCAACCCCGACTGTCCTTTGGAAGGACAGGTACTCAAGCTGAAACTCAAACTCTTTGGCCTCCAAATAAGAGAGGACTTATTGGAAAAAAGACCCTGATGTTGGGAAAGACTGAAAGCAAAAGGAGAAAGGGACGGCAGAGGATAAGATAGTTAGATTGTGTCATTGACACAATGAACATGAAGTTGGGCAAAGTCCAGGAGACAGTGCAGGCAGGGCGGCCTGATGTGGTGTGATTCATGGGGTCACAAAGAGTTGGACACGACTGAATAACAACAACTGTATAGCACACACAGAAATAAAAGGCCCGATGCCATTGCTCTGCACTGGTCCTCAGAAGAAGAAGAAAAAGACATCAAAAGCAGTTTAAAAACACAAAGTGGCCAAGCATGCAAAAAAAAAAAAAAAATCCCCTAAGCCTCTGACTGGATTGACTCCTCCCTGCCCAAAAGCATGATAAGGATTCACATGACAAGTGCTCACAAGGTAGGCCAGCTTGTGTAGTATCAAAGGTCTCATACACTTGTCCTGTTTTCCATGATGCTTCTGAGAACAGCTGAAGCACTGCTTTTCCCCCCCCCCCCATGCAAGGGATTCCCTCCCTTCCACATGTGGTCTGTCCGCTATTCTCAAATGGGCCCCTGAGTTTTCCCACACCATCATCTCTATTCATAAACAGATACAATTTATCTCTAGCTCATTACCAGCACCTCCCAAATCACAGCTGAACGGAGGTTGCCACATGGAAGTTGGGAAGAACTTGTGTGGACTCACTTCTCACAGGGTGTGTGTGTGTACATGTGTGAATTATTAAATCACTCTGGCCATGAATTTACCCTTCCCCGTCCCGGCAGACGTCAGTTGCCACCGGGCTTTGCCAAGATGCTACTGTTTCCCAGAAATTTAAAATACAGCAAAGGGACAGTGACTTTGTGGTTTGCAACATCCCGCGACCATAATATCTACTTGGCCAAATGAGAAACCATCACACTATGAAATGAAAACATAGATGGGCGTCGGCAGGACATTGGTTAAATGTCTTTGGATTTTCCTGCTGTTAGCTGGAAGAAGTACTAACAGGCTCATCTTTTTCCAGCATTTTGAGTGTGGCTGTATCTGAAGACGTCAGCAAACTGGCTTCCAACAACTTCTGAGTAGCTGGCAATTGAAATAAAATGCTCTTAAGGAACATGCCTGAAGGAAATGTACTTCCGCAAGGAGAGATGAGGGTTTGATTGTCCCTGAGTATCATTTTTAATAATCAACCTAATAAATACTTTCTGGACTACCAAGTTAAACTTTTACAAATTTTGCAATATAGTATTTCTCTCTCTCAAAAAAAAAAAAGGATTAACAATCTCTGTTTTGGCTCAAAGACGTACAGGAATGTTTGTGGAAACTATGAATTTTTATGAGAATTTTCACACAGTTTTGTGTTCTTAAGGTGCAAAGTGATCTGGAAATTGGACAGAATGGATTTGGGCATGAAGTCTCTGCAAAACTGCCATGGCCAGGGAGCAAACGGCCTCCCTGGACAAAATGTTTCTGCAGAATTGGAGAAATCCAGCATGGGTTACAGCACCCAAATAAATGAATGAAATGAAATTATCAGACGCAACACACTGAATTTCTCATGATGGATTTTCTATTTACGTTCTATTTTTCCAAGACTCTACATGGCCTCTAACATTTTAAACTAGATCCAACTTCTCAGAGTTTCCTATTGTTTACTTTGTTCTCCAATGGGTAATTGCTATCAAGACCAATGTACTCTTGCATAAATATTAAGAGAACCTCTAGGCCTAAACTCAAGAAAACTCAAGAAAACTGCATGTCCTATGTCCAAGCATGTGCTGTCTGGCCACATATGAGCAATATCTCCTTTCCTCACTTTCTTTATTAAAAATAAAAAAAAAAAAGCTTGGAGCAAAATGTAGACGAATCAGGTCTGAAAACAACCTTGAACATATACATATCATGTCACTGTTTTCTAGTTAGAAGCAAAGCTCAGTTGCCATTTTGAATCAACCACAATTCAAGCTAATGAATAAACCATAGCGTTATATCTGAAAGGATTCCATGTTTAAAACTATCCTGTGATTCTACAGCCGGAAAAGCCAGTGGCCTATCAGTTGATTCAAGCTGAAATCCATGTGAGGAAGACTGAAGGGTTGCAACACTAGGTGGGTCGGAAACCATCCTGGAAATTACCCAAGAACACAAAATCCTACTCCTTCTTTTGATAGGATTTCATTCTATCTCATCTGATATCTGTATCTCAGTGTCTGAAATCCAGAACAGGAAAAACAGCACTAGATCTCCCCCAAAAAATAAATAAATAAATGGTGCTAGAATGAACACAGTTATGAGAACTAGTAACAGAACAATCAAGAAACCAGTAAGACAGGAAAAGACTTGAGAACATGAAAAAGTAATAAGAAAACAGCATACAACATCTGAGCTAAACCACAACCCACATTCTCAGGCCTGGGGTTCAAAAGGCTCATATATACATAATTTTTCAAGACTCATAAACTTTTGCGTACAACCAGGTAAATTGTATCAGTACAAACAATAAACACAAGGCAATTTTCATTATATTACTCTGTGGGTGTTATATGCAGCCTTTAGAGTCTTTGAAGGCTAGCATCATTCTGGATATGAAATTATTGTATGTCTCCTGATTTTATTATTATCCTTCAGAAATATGGCTGAGGCTAGACCATGGCATGGATAAGTACAGCTAGTCCTCGACTTAGAACAATTCAAATTGTTCTAATTTAGTGACCATTCAAAGTTACAACGGCACTGAAAAAAGTGACCTCCGACATATTTCACACTTATGACCATTGCAGCATCCCCATGGTCACCTGATTTACATTTGGATGCTTGGCAACTGATTCATATTTATGACGGTTGCAGAGTCCCAGGTTCACATGATCCCCTTTTGCGACTTTCTGACAAGCAAAGTCCATGGGGAAGCCAGATTCACTTAACAAATGTGTTTGCTAAGTGAATCATGTTACTAATTTTTTTTTTTTTTGCTTTAATTTATATGCCGCCCTTCTCCGGAGACTCAGGGTGGCTTACAATGCGTTAAGCAATAGCCTTCATACTTTTGTATATTTATACAAAGTCAGCTTATTGCCCCCACAATCTGGGTCCTCATTTCACCTACCTTTGAAATTTAACACCTGCCATGATTCACTTAATAAATGTGGCAAAAAAAAAAAGTCATAAAATGAGGCAAAACTTAATAAATTTCTCACTTAGCAATTCTGGGCTCAATTGTGTTCGTAAATCAAGGACTATCTGTAGTTGCTTAATAGGAGAATATAAGCCAGAATCCACTTTTATTTTTTTAAATGCTTCATATGGCTACCTAGCTCCTAAATACCTAACATAGGGTAAAAATGTATAAACCAAACTAGCCAATAGTTTGAAACCGCTGAAACAAGCAGTATCACAATGCAACGTAAGGGGGATCAAAACCAACAGATTCCAACGACGTTACAGGCCATTCAATGCTATGAGTTGGTTCGAAAAGTTTCTCAACCTTGATCACTTTAGGATGTGTGGATTTCAACTCCCAGAATTCCACAGCCAGCATAGGGAATTGAAGTTCATACTATTAAAGTGGCCAAAGTTGAGAAACACTGTCTTAAAACATCTTCAAGTACCCTTTTCTTTTTCTCTTTGGAGGATGGCCAATTTTTTAGTCACAAGGAACTGAAAATACGAAGTGGGGAAAATATGCAAAATGCAGGGCTAATATTTTCCGTATTAGGGGAGTGTTATTTTGTGTTATTCTGTTTAATTTTTAATGGTGTCAGACCTATTTTAGGGCATATAGCTTCCCTGCGTTTTCTGACTTAACATGGCTGGAAAGTGCAGCATCACTTTTCAAATAATTACACTGCTATAATCTGGCAAGGAGTGTTGAGTCTACAGACTATTCACCCCTAGTCTACTGGAAGAAATGTCTTTCTATGACAACAATTAGGAGGCAAAAAAGTTTTAGTAAGAGCACTAAGTGTTGTGGCCCATACGCGGCCTGTGCGGCTGGTGGCTGATTCGGACAATGAGGAGGCTGGTGTGCTGCGCCAGCAGCCTGTGCAGCTGGCACTCAAGTCAGACAATGAGGAGGCTGGAGAAGATGTGGTGCCAGAGGCGGGGATTCAGCCAGGGCCTTCAGAACCTCCAGAAGCTCCCTTAAGTGAAGAGGACGAAGAGGTGGAGCCTCTTCTTGATGCACGGGCGCGCAGAGCTGCCAAAAGGCAGGAGTGGCTCCTCAGGCGGAGGTCTCCTCGAGAGTAAGGCTTGGGGCTAATTGGTCACTCCCTTAGCCTATTTAAGGAGGAACGCCGACTGAAGCATTTTGCAGGAAACAACTTGTTCTCTCTCTTTCATGCCTTGATCTTAGTTCTCTGCAAATTGCTTCTGGGTTTTCTGCCAACCATAGTAAGATTAAGATTATTTATTCTTTGGATTCTTGCGGGCTGTTAAGAAAGTTAATTAACAGCCTTTGTTTGAGAAAAAAAACAAACCCTGATTTTATTTTAGTAAACTAAAGTTAGACTTTGTGTGTGCTGCGTTCTTTGGGGTCCGTAGCCGGGGCAGAACACTAAGATGGTTGTGAGTTATCTTGGAAACTAAGCAGAGTCTGCCAGGATGGACGCTTTGATGGGGCATCAGCTGAGAATGACAGAGCTGCTGAGTGGACTGGAAAATTGGAAAAAAAAAAAAAAAACAACAGAAGGCAGCTTTCTATTAGGTTCCAAGAAAACTACATGGATTCCAGTCATCAGAATTTGAACATTACTCAAAGATGCCTTTATCTAGGAAAGGAAGAACAAGGAGGGAGCTGAAAAAATTGGGGCTATTGATGTCCAAGTTGAGCTGCCACAAAAATAAAACTGTGTGCAATCTTATATCAAGCCTGGTTTACAGTTAAAGGCACCAAATAAATATGTTTATTTTAACAAATGTACTACTATCAGAGATATGAGTAACAATTTTGGTTTGGTTTGGTTCCATCACCTTTCACGTACCTTTAGAGGAGCACAGAGGATTATAGTGCTGGCCCCCGATGCAGTAACTGTCACATCTCCAGGGACAGCAATTGGATCAGGACTTACAGACAGACTCTTAATCATTGCAGGTTCTGATGGAGGACCACAGTTTTCCCATGCAAAGTTTTGTACCTAAACGTGTAAAGAAAGACAAGATTTAAAATTATGCATTAAGTTTGACAGAATGACCTTCCCCAATCTGGTTGGGAAACTCTGCCTAAATTGGCAATACAGCCCAAATACATCTGGAAAATCCTAGCATAAAGAAAACGAAGCTATGTTTTCCTTAACGGGATAAATATTAGTTATAAAACTTGAAATGCATAATTTAATTAAGGGAAAAAGGGAGAGAGGTTGAAATATCCCTTTCTGCCAGGGGTGAAATCCAGCAGGTTCTGGAGAACCGGTAGTGGAAATTTTGAATAGTTCAGAGAACCGGCAAATACCACCTCTGGCTGGCCCCCGAGTGGGGTGGGAATGGAGATTTTGCAGTATCCTTCCCCTGCCACGCCCACAGAACCGCTAGGAAAAAAAATTGATTTCATCACTGCTTTGTGCCTGTCTTAACACCTCCTATCCTATTTTCAATTGGCCTAATTGCAGATTTCCTTCCTTTTTATTTAATAAGATCTGTACTTATGTGATAAATCTGCATTTTCTAGACTTTCTCTGAAGGCTCCCGTGATCTACCACTCTTTAAACCTAAACCTCAGAATGCTATTTTCCAAGATTTCTAGACCAAGCTGCTGCCAAACATGTAGTTTTCTCTGAGTAGCAAAGTACAAACTACAAGCCTTTCTTGCCACTGTTATTAAGTGAATCGCTGCAGTTGATTAAGTTAGTAACCTGGTTGTTAAGTGAACCTGGCTTCCCCATTGATTTGGTTTGTCAGAAGGTCACAAAAGGTGATCATACGACCTTGGGGCACAGCAACAGTCATAAATATGAACCAGTTGCTAAGTGTCTGAATTTTGATCACAGGATCGTGGGGATGCTACAAAACTCAGAACTGTGAAAAATGGTCATAAATCCCATTTTTCAGTGCTGTTGTAACTTTGGATGGTCACTAAATGAACTGTTGTTAAGTCGAGAACTACCTGTACAATGGCCTCAGTCACTGGACACTACAGAAGCCATCAAAATCCTATACTTCCTTATGGAAATGCAGGATTCGGCCTATCTAGCCCTTCAGGATTGGCAAGTACTTTTAATTTTTAATGACAAGTGCTTTCTGTGTAGGAGTTTTCTTTTGTATGGGGAAAGCCTTCAAGAGACTGGTTAGACAGGATGATTCTCCTTAGCTCCAATTGGTAAAATCATAGTTGAAAACCACTTTTAACACAGGAGCAAAGCACTACAATCTGCAACAATTTCATCACAGAGCACTTCAGGTCTGTACACGCTGGACTGGGTATGTAACAGTTGTGACACACCTCAGACTTTCATGGGGATCATTGTGTCCCTTGCTTAATGAGGTGCTATTGGGTAAGTCTAAATTTACACAGATCTTTAAAAAAGAGAAGAGTCCTGAGAATTAGGATTACGGTTTAATTATTAAGCTTCTTATTTAACAAACACAGCATTTTTGTGCAAAGACATTTTCTGAAAGTGTTGCAAAACCTCTGCTTCATGTAGTCAAGTGTAATCTACGGCACCCTGGTAATACATTATTTACAAGGTACCAATAAAGGAGACTATTTGTAGCTCAGGGCTGAAATGAGGGGTCCTTGATGTTCTGAGCTTGATTGTCTTTATGCATTTATTTACCCAAACTAGGTGGCATCAACAGTGCTAGTAAAGAATGGAATTTGCTCTCAGTTTATATTCTAGTGGCTTCAAGACCACTTCCATTAACACTGACAGAGCAAGCCATTAGAATATAAACTGAGAGCAAACCCTACTCCTTATTAGCACTGATGTTACCTAGTTTGGGTAATGAAATGCCTGCATAAAAACAACCAAGCTCTGAGAGCACCAAGAACCCCTTATTTAGAATGTAGTAATATTAGATATGATTTTGAAAGCAACCTTATTAGATTCCAAGCTAGGAATTGGTTTTGTAAAAAGAGGTATTCAGGCCTATGCACTGATTAGCCCCTCAAAAAGTAGAACTGCATATCCAAAAAGAATGAGTGTCTTATATACCTCACATCCTAGAATTGTACCAGAAATTCACATTTCGCATATGGGAAATTATGTCTGCATGCTATGTAGTGCATTAAGTTTTGTAAAATGACAAAAACAACAGCTGTTCATCTGAAATGATATGGTGGGCATATTCCTTTTGCCCAGTTGCTCTGTCTCCAGAACCAACCAGCAATCATTTCTAGAAAACAGGAACATCACTTTGTTCACGCACAGGCATGTTTTCCAGCTTCTGTTTCTCAAGGTAATATTTTCCCCTTTATCCTCTTTGTGTGCTCCTGTCTGTTTTGGCTGGTATGGTTTACTTCCTTACAAACTATTTCCAGAAGTCCAATGGCTACTTCACACAGGAATAGCCCTGAATTGCATCAATCGTTACCATGATCTTATTGTCTTTTAGAGTGATTTTTATCAGTAATATTATAATAATGGTAGTAATACTTGTATTATAAATAGAAGACTGCCAGTTTGAAATCTGGCAAACATTTAAACATTTCTATTACTATCCCCCCTCCCCCCCCTAATAATCTCACTAGTTTTCCTTAAGGGTTGTTTTGTATAAAAAAAAAATCAGTCCCACATTTCATCATTCCCGCAGTCATTTGAAATTAAAGGGTTACATCTACTCTGGCTTTGCCCACTCTGAAGGGATCTGGATATACCACTGGATGTACCACTGGATGTATCACTAACATGATGTACCACTGGAGAAGATACTCAGAAAAATAGTCCATTTAAAAAAGAATTTCCTGAGTTTTGACCCAGCAACCTTCTATTCTCAGGACATATGTTACAATCACTGCACATTGTAATGTTACTCATAAAAATAGCTATAAAACCAACACTTCAGTAGGAAAAGCATTATTTTAAAATTGGATATATTACATGTGCATTTTGAATTTTAATTCTGAGTGTTTGTCCTCACCCCACAATATACCCAAAGGTTCTTTTCAAAAGGCAACTGGACTTTCTTAGTTTTTTCCTTGAAAACATTTCCCTTCTCATCCAAGAAGCTTCTTCGGTTCTTCAGAAACATTTTCAACGAAAAAAAAAACTAAGGAAGTCCAGTTGCCTTTTGAAAAGCACCTTTGGGACAACCATGGCCTGGATGATTGAGAATCTCCATAGACACTCTCCCCCTCCCATAAGACTCATCCCTATCAAGGGAAGTAATTGGGATTTTTCCTGGAACAGAAATGAGGAGGGGGCAGCAGCAGCTGAGCCATTGTCCAATGGGAGGATGTGGTAGCAACAGCCAATTGACAAAGTGTACTTCACAAGCAGAATGTCCCCTGAGCTACCCCACAGGTGCCCATGTACAATTAAGTGAAATCTGGAAAGCTGCTGGTAGTATATGGTATATAATCCTAGGCTGAATGACTTAATGCTCTATTTCAGTTTACAGCAGAATCTTATATGCCACATAGAGCCAATATCACAAACTCACTCATCACTTACTTCCAACAAGTTCATTGAACTACTTTGGATTGTCCCTTTCCTGAAGGCCAGCAATATTTAATAACCATAGCCTTATTTTTTTAATATTTTAAAAAGTCCTATTATTGTACTAGTTATTTTAGGTATTGCTTATTTTTATATTCATTTTATTGCCCTATGTTCTGTATATAATATAGCCTGCCCTGAGATCCTGAGGATAATGGCCAGATCAAACATATTTACATTAATAAATATTTATCTTGCTGCTACTTTAAACGAAGTAGGATGATCAGCAAACCATGATTCCAAATATTTTGTGTGAGAAACACTATTCAAATTTGCATTCAAGAACAAAGCCTTGAGCAAGATACTATCTATATATGCTATCATAGGGTGTAACCAATATAATTATAATTATTATAACCCACTGCTGTTTGCTCTGTTCAAATCTATATGACCAAGTATACTATCAGAAATTATTTCCTTAGCCTGGATCTAAATACACAATTACACATAAATTATTTCTCCTTCCATTTAGATGAGACCTTGGGAGTTCTACTAATTATGCTTGGAGTATATTCCTATTAATTTCTAACAAGAAGATTTATATTAGTAGCAGTGATGAGAAGGGCTTTAATACACCTAAAATTCACATTCCATTGGTGGCAAGAATTAACTACAACATTACATTCATAGTCATTAGGACTGCCTGCAAAAATATAACATTAAATTTCTGCTAACAACAACAAAAAGTAATCAGATGTGGGCTCCTGATAATAATAGCCTCACTGTTTGAAACCCATTGTTGTTTGTTTTCCAACTACATTGACAAGCCAACATATTACCAACTACTCTTATAGTATTAAATCCTTCAGAACTACCCCAGATTTCCAAAATGAGTGTATAGAATTATAAGAAGTCACATAGGCCATTCTGTCACACACACCCAGCTCAAAAATAGTTCCTGACTTAAGTTTTCACACAAATAGTCCGAAAAGAGGAAAAAATATAAAATATAAAAACTGCAACCTACAAGGAAAAATTTTGTGCATAATAATTAACATTTTTGAAGTGGGGAGGAGGGGAATACCTACAATTCCCGTCAGTTTTAGCAAGAAGAAAAGTTTCCACTAGTCTGTTATTGCAATATAGCTTCATGCATGAGTGCAGATCAGCTTTCTGTCAAAATAATAAAAATGCATTTCCACAAAAAGCCCCCTAGTCTTTCGCATTCAAGGATCAGCCGCAACTATCCCTCTCCTCCTTCCACCCTTCATGGCAGTAGCAGAAGCGAAGCCATTCACCACTGCTGCCAGTTACCTTGCTCAGAGTCCAGGTAATGTCCGGCGCGACAAAGCGTTGTTGTTGGGGTCCCCCATGGACAGCTGTCAACAGCTGGAGAGCACCGACGGTCAGCCAGAGCGCCAAAGCCTGCATTTTCTCGGATCAATCCGGCTAAAATCGGGAAGAATGCAGCTCACAGGCGCAGAGTGAGATCTAGCTCTCGGTAGATCGCTTTAAGAAAGCTCCAGGAAGCAAAAAGATGCAAGCTCAGCTTTTCTGGGAGGAAAACTTCCCAAGAGTCCAGAGCCCACCAAAGCCTCAGAGCTTTTTTTTTTTTTTTACTGGCCTCTTATCCTCTCCCCCTGCCTCAGGGATGCCTGCGAACCCTCCTCCTTCCTCCACCTGATCTCTTGACGGAGAAAACGTGATTTATTTCGCAAGCTCTGAGACCGGAAAGGGATCTCTCTTCATGCTCCGATGCGAGGGAAGGGGATCTGACCTCTGCTGGTACGGAAGTTGTATCGCCCAGGCAATTCGGGTGCGGTAACTTTACAGTAGTGGCCAAAATTGCGGAAACCTTTTGGGAAAAGTGTATTTTCTAAAACTAGCTAATAGCACCACTTTTTTTTTTGAGTAGTACATAAAATTATTTATCAATGGAAAGATAATTTAATCAAGAATGTAATGCAGGGGTGAAATCCAGCAGGTTCTGACAGGTTCTGGAGAACCGGTAGTGGAAATTTTGAGTAGTTTGGAGAACCATCAAATACCACCTCTGGCTGGCCCCAGTGTGGGGTGGGAATGGATATTTTGCAATATCCTTCCCCCAGGAGTGGGGAGGGAATGGAGATTTTGCAGTATCTTTTCCCTGGCATGCCCACCAAGCCATACTACGGCCATAAAGCCACACCCACAGAACCGGTAGTAAAAAAATTTGGATTTCACCACTGATGTCATGCAATAACTTTTATGAAGGATTTGCTATTAGAATACCAGTTACAGTATGTGAAACATAGAAAAAAACGAGATACACAAAAATTATCACATCAGTTAATACTTAGTTGGGTAACCTTTAGCACAAATTACGGTCTTACAATGTCTTCCCATGGAGTCAACCAAGTCTTTTAGTTATGCAGCTGTTATAATGTGAAACCAAGATTGGTTGGATGATTGCTTCTATTAACTGGGTTTTATTGCTGGGTCGCTTCTGACTAACAAGTTTCTTTAGTCGGCTCCATAGATTTTCAATTGGGCTATGATCTGGTCTATTCCCAGGCCATTCCAACAGTGGAATATGATTGAAACTCCCCCCAAAAAAGTGGTGTTATTAGCCATCAAATCTCAAAAATACACTTTTCCACAATTTTGGTCACTACTATACAAAATGATTTAGTTCTACTTTTTAAAAAAATGCTTCATTGAAGGGGGAGGGGGAGGGAAAACTCATTGGAATCTCATTTTCTCTTAATCTCAGATTTTTTTTGTTTCTACTCCCATTTACATATCGCCAATTGTTCCCCATAAAAGCCAACATGGAGACTCCATTGAAAATCATTCATTTATTCAGAACTTAAGGTGTAAGTTTAAGGTTAATAAATTTACCCGTAGTGGCTCTGTGAATAGGCCCATGTATTTTTCTTGCAGCATTAGAGAGGAGTGGTTGTTTGCCATTATCTTCTAGAGTACGGCTGTGACTTTTGAGCCAAGCCAACAGTTTTGTAATTTCATCCAAATTATCAATCAACCAGTTCTTTTTCTGCACTTAACTTGAAGGTCAGCCAAGTATTCCCACCCTCAGGAAAGTCTATTTTCTGAGGTGAGAATCATCTCTGAACTGTTGACGTTTCCATTGGAAGGATGCTGAGGTCTTATCAATGCAAGATCCTTGGGGAGAATTCTATATTTCCCACTTTTACATATTTTTTATTGGGAAGTAAAGTGATGGAGCTCACAATGGTGTAGAAAGTTAGCACCTAGCCTCCTCCTAGAATAATAAAATATTTTGAGGAATATTAAAAAAAAAGTAGAATATATTTCCCTGGATGAGAAAGGGAGAAACATGTTTTTAATATATTTATCTATTTAAATTTGTCAAAAACAAAAACAAGAATAAGAGAATAAAAATACAACAACAGGGATGATAGGCATATTAGTGCACTTATGCACGTCCCCTCTACTGACCACTTAAGTATGAAGTAAAGTCTACAGAAGTCAATTTGTGACTGAAACACTGAAAATTTGTAGCTGAGACAATTGAATCAGGTAGGGCATTTCAGACTTTGACAACTCTATTACAGAAATCATATTTTTTACAGTCAAGTTAGTACGATTAGTTACATCGTGTTTAGTCAAGTTAGTACGATTTACAGTACAGTTAGAACAATTTACATTGAGTTTAAAGCGGTTGTTCGCTCGCGTATTATTGCGATTAAAACAGAAAAAGTAATTTACAGGTAAAACATTACTACGTATAATTTTGTATGCAATACCTAGGTCTCACTGCAAGTGACGCAGTTCTAGGTTATCCAAACCAAGAATTTTGAGCCTAGTAGCATAAGGAATTCTACTGAATACAGAAGAGTGCAAGACTTTTCTCGTTAAGTACTTCTGAACCCGCTCAATTGTACTGATGTCAGATATATGGTGAGGATTCCAAACAGTTTAACAATACTCTAAAATTGGTTGAGCATAAGTTTTATAAACTCTAATTATCAATACAATGTTTCCAGAAAAAAAGCTTCACAAAATTAAGTTTACAACTCTTAATGCTTTTTTAGCAATGATGTTACTGTGAGTTTTGTAGCATAAATTGTCAGAGATAATAAGCATACCTAGGTCCTTAATAAAGTGAGGGTCACCTGCTAGATGAATGCCACCTAGCTTATACAGAGCATTTATTAATCGAAACTTGAAGTTGCCAAATAAATTACCATTCAGACACATAGTCAATATCACTTTGCAAAACAACAGAATTATCTGAATAATTGAATGATTTTACGTCATCGGCAAAAAGAACGCAATTGCTTTTAAGCTGATCACATAAATCATTGATATACAGCAAAAAAAGTGTGGGACCTAAAACGCTGCCTTGTGGAATACCACTGTTAACTGATGCAGGATTAGACAGTGAGTTCCCTGTTTTGACTTTCTGCAGTCTATTAGACAGAAAAGCAGCAATCCACTTGTGCAAGGTCCAGAAATGCCGTTAGAGTTTAATTTCAACAGCACTTTATCATGTACTACTGTATCATTTTAAAGACAAAGAGCAGCTCCCTGCAGCTCCCTGCCCCCAGCAGATATTTGATGCCCATTGAGAAAGACTGGGCCAGCCTATCTACAAAACAAAGGCCTCCAGCTACAGGGTGATGGGATTAAGACATGACCCTCCAGGACATAATAGGATTATCTGTCAGCAGAGCTCACCACATGGCACAACCAAGCCCCTATTTACATCAGCCCAAGGTTCAACCAAACTTGACTTCAAGACAAACATGACCCCACATGGCCCGATGGGAGTCTGACAGTAACCAATAGAATACATGCTCTTGGCACAGGAACAGGAAGCTCAAGTTCCAAGCCCAAGAGAGAGTATAAATACCTCTCACTCTCCACTCCATGTGGTCAGCTACCCAGAATCACATGTGCTTGGTGGTTCTGCTTCACCATTAAACCATCTGTCCAGTCAGACTCCATGTTTCCAGTCTTTCTCCCCACTTGGAACTGAACCCAGATGGACATTTCTTCCAACAATAGGTAAAGATTGGAAAAGGATTACAAGCAAGTAACAATACCACCTGATTCCTTGTAAACACTCCTGAATCAGACTATGCAAGGCATCTGCTGTTACACTGTACAGACAGTGAAGCCCACAGAAAACATTCTCCATTCATTTATTTTCTTAGTAAGTCCCTGCAGTTTTCTTGGCAAGATTTTTGGAAGTAGTTTGCCACTGCCTGCTTACTAGGGATGGGAGAGCAGCCTTGACCCAATGCCACCCACTTTAGCTTGTGTAAATAAAGTAACAAGACACTAGGTAAATAATAGTTCAGACAATTTCTGTTTATAGGTAGCCGTTGTCTACCATACACAATTGGGACTGGAAAAACTGTTGCTAAGTGACATAATCATTAGGTAAAATGCCACATGACTGTGCCAGATTTACAATGTCAGTTCTGTGCGATCAAATTGCCACATGTTCTTAAGTGAGGATGTCATGTGACTATGAGTTGCAACTTCCTGCTGGCTTCCCCATTGACTTTACTTATTACCAGCACATGATCCCGTGGAGGTTGCAATGGCCACAAGTTCAAGGATTTTTTTGGTCACTAAATGAGGCAATCAGTTATTACTTATAAGTAATTACCTTACTTATAAGATATGGTTTGTACATGAGACTGCACAAACCATACCTACTGGCTGGGTTCTTTTATTGAACTAAATAACAGTTCATTTCATCATGGGCTATTAAATAAATCATAACTAGCAGGGCTCACCATCTAAGTCATATTATACTAGCCATGTCTATCTATCCAGTCAAAATTCATCCAGTGAACAAATACAAATAATTATGCAACTGCACAGTGCCCAGGAAGTTTCAGAATTTACTTGGCATTCTTCCTCAGGGCCCTTGCATTTCGCCAAAGAGTTGGATGCAACTTAAATAAAACATATATTTATAATGTTTTATGAGAGTGTAAATGTCTGAAAAAAGCAACCTGAACTGCATCTTTTAGCTATGTAAAACTCCTAGATTCAGCATTCCATATCTGATGGAACCAGTTAAAAGACAACTCCTCTGAAATACTGGCCTGAACTGGATCTTTCATCTGTGTAAAAGTCCTAAGCTCAGCATTCCATATTTGATGGCTTTGGAACTTGTTAAACTGCAATTCCTGTCACCCTAGTACAGCAGTGTGTCTCACAAACATCCATGGCATTTGATGCAAGTGTAAAGGCGGGTGACCCAGTTTTCATTTGCCTCACCTTCTCTGCAGACACAACAACTCTCTTGCCCTCCATACAGGAAAGCTGAGAGAAAGATTGGGCCACCACTGGGCCCAGTTGGCTACTATGTAAATTCATGGATCTGCCAAGCTGAATACTGCAGCCAAAACCTATCTAAAAGATCTGGCAGGGTTGCATTTTTCTTCCAGATTGACTCTACTCTATCTAATGGACAATCTGCTTGAATACAAAATGATGACCACACAGAGAACTATTTCCTACCAATATTTTATTTTTATTAGATTTGCATCCCACTCTTTCTGTGGCAACTCAAGGTACCTTATCCAGAGATCAGCTTGAAGCTACTCCCTCAACGACATGTTGGAGCTGAGAGTCAACCATCGTCCCACAGTCATCCAACAACTTTCACATGAAGCGCAAAGGCCATGATCAGTACTTGGAAGCTCAGATTTAGTGCTCTTTCAGACCATGTTCAGACAATAGGAGAT